AAATAGAGTTACATTGTAAATTTTTTTTTAGAATAAATCGATATTTTTAATTATTCCCCGGAGCAATTTTTTTAATTAAAAATTTTTTAAAGTGGAAAACAAACAGTAAATACAAACTTTTACGAATCAGCGAAAAATCCAATAAATGTTTCGAGTAAAGTTTACTTTTTTAGAATTTAAAATATTTTTTTTTAGTGTAATAAAAATATTAATTATGTTTTTTATAGAATTTTTTAATTAAAATTTTCATTAGCACAATATTGAAATTTTTTCTAAAAGACAGTAAGCATAAGTTTTTAAAAAAATTATTATTATTATTATTATTTAAAAAAAATCCATTAATTTATTTTTTACGAAGATCCGTAATTTGATAGCTTATAATTTGATTAATGGGGTCTTTAGCGTTATATATAGCAATTGAAATGAACCGTGGGATATCAGCACATCGACTGTACGTCTATCAATCTATAAGCCCTTTACATACACACAATCTATTTTTACAAATATACATCGTGTAGGGTATCGATTATTATGGCGAATCGATTCGCCTTGCAATTGCTAAGTCCTCAATAAATCTAGTGACTTTCCTGTCTCATAGACTCTTGCTAACTCGGATTCCAATGTTGCAGACTCTATAGATACCCTCTTACAGCACGGAAGAATTTTTAGATTCCATTTGGGGCAATTGACTCCCACGCTTACACGTCACCCGCAAATAATCCAAAATTCATGCTCTCTATTTCGGTTTCTGTGTCACACAAACACTATTATTTATACTTTTTACTTTAATATCGATCTTTAAAGTTTAAAAAATTTTCATTTCAATCTTTTTTCTTCTTTTAGTAAGTCGATTAACTTAATGGTTCAGTACAACAGTTTCTCAAAGTTTAAGCGGTACTTTATAAAACCATTTATTTTAAATTCCTTTTTATTTAATGGGTATACTCAATCGAACCTTAAATTTTATGGACGAACAGATGAATTTAATTATTAAACAAAAATTAATAGACATTTTTCATTCTTCTGAATCAAAATTATAAAATTTAATAAGTAAATTAAACAATAATATTTTGCCAAATAAAAAATTTTTAATTAAATACATTTTTCTGTAGTCTTAACAGAACTTTTTATTCCGTTCATCATAAAATTATTTTAATACTTTCTTTTAATTTGCCAATTGACTTTATAAATTGAAAATTTATAAAAAAGCAAAATTTTATTCCATACTCTCAAAGTATCATCTATATTATTAAGAAAATAAGAAAAATTTTGTCTCCAGGATAGACATATAATAAAATTGGTTTTTTTAGTGAAATTTAGTGTCATTGCAAAGGTCTTGACTTTAATTTGTTCTTTTTCAAGGTTTCATATCATTCTCACCGATAATCAATTTATTATGATAAGTATTAGGCTGCATTCGAAAATTCACTATCTCTAGATACATAATTAAGAAATGACCTCGTATCTTGTGAACTACTGACATTTTTAAAGATATAAGCTCATCATGATGTTACATTCATCGAGACCTTTCATTTGAGTACCCACATCAATTTTTCATATATTTTATATATTTGTATATATATTATATATATATGTATATATCAAAAATATATCAAAAATGCATGTGGGTACTCAAATGAAAGCTCTTGATGAGTATAACATCGGGATGAGCTTATATCTTTAAAAACGTCAATAGTTAAAAAAGTACAGTGCAATTTAACAAAAGTCATGATTTAATAAAGTAAAATTTTATTTATTTATAGTTCACAAGTCATGGCAGTCACATAGTGACTGCAAGGTTGCTAGTTAAATTTAATAAGTAAATTAAACAATAATATTTTGCCAAACAAAAAATTTTAAATTAAATAGATTTTTCTGTAATTTAAACAGAACTTTTTATTCAATATTTTATTTTTTTACTTTTCCAATTAACTTTTTTAAATTGATAATTTATAAAAAAACCAAAATTGTACTCCATATTTACAAAGTATCATTTAATAAAAAATAAAAGGCTCAATTAAAAAATTTTTCTCTCCGCAACAACGTTTTTTTCCATCCAATAAAAGATTCATCATAATATTCTCTCAGAAACTTGAAACCATTTTAAACAACATCCGAGTTAATTGCGATTGTTGATCATCGGAACTCGAAACATCCAAATCACGAAGCGTAGAACTTCTCTGGAATTAAATCCCCAATTAAAAAATATTATTTACAAATCGCGTATTTCCATTATCAAATTAAGCCGATCAATTATTTGGATTCTCATCCACACTCTAGCCGAGTATCTACTATCTAGGCTCTCTAGTTTCAGTTTCAGTTGCAGTTATCCACCATAGCGGTATAAAAATAATACGATCCGGAAATATCGAGGTTTTCAGTGAGGCTGCAGCAAATACGTGGCTGTGAAATATTAACAAAAAAACCCGATGGAATTTATTTAAACTGGCAGCTCACGTACCTAATATTTCCGCGGATGACGAGAATGCTTAAAGCCGCTTTCCGGTTTATTAGCCGATGCCTACACTGCTTCACACTGCTCGCGTACACCAGAATACTCGCTGGAAAGTTAAATTTGCGGCTTCTAACAATGCGTAGATTCAATTTCTTTTTTTAAAATAAAATTACCAGTAAGTACTTATAAATTGTGTATATATGGGACGAATTCGTCGGACCGTCCGCTGTCCGCTGAAATATCGGAAAACTGCTTCGTCGACGCATTACTTTATTTTATCCCATATTCGGCTCTATAAGTCCTCTGCTGTACATATATATTTACTGTACATATATATGGGCTATAAGTACAGTTATAACGAGTGTACGCTGTCTACATTCCACTTCTGCGGCATTACACACCCTCCAGTTTACCTCGCGGGTATATTCGATATATATGTACGTGTGTTAATATATAGTGTGTATTTTTTATCTTATTTTTTTTTTTTATATATATACACACAGTGATCACGTACAGTGTAAACGTACTTTGCCAGCCGTTCGGTCATTTCGCTTGGGCGAAAGAAAAAATATAGGACAATGCATACTCCGCAAAAAAACTAACGCCCTTACTGTCTTTTTTAAGCTTTTTTTCACTTTTTTGCTTACGGCATTTATTCTACCGAGTGTAAATTTTATCTCGCGTGTCCTGTGACTGGCTCACTGCCTGCCTAGGTGTATTGTATAGGTGTTTTATATTTTGTATATGTAATATTTTCTCACTAGTTTTTAGCAGGCGTGACGCTGAAAATCGTAATTTAAGCTCGCTATATTTTTTACGGTTAAAATAATAATGTTGGGAAAATTTGAATTTAAAGGTTTGAATTTAAGGGGAAAGTGACAAGAGGGTTAAATTAATAAAGTTGTAATAGTTTTTTGTATTGACAAAAAAATCAAGTTTTTTTTTTTTTTAATTTTTAATGTACAAAAATTTCACAGTAATAAACGGCTGCCCAATTTTAAAATACAGTATAATTTTGAAGAACTTAATCTTCTTGATTTGAGTAGAAAAATTCTTGAACTAATAAATTTTTTTTAATTTAAAGAAATTTTACTTGATTCAAGAATTTTTCGTCTTGATTCAAAAAAATTATTTTCTTAGTTTAAGAATTTTTCTCGAATTAAATAAATTTTTTTTTTCAGTGTAACTGCAAAATTTTTATACCTGATTTTTTTTAGTATTGCTGCATTTCTTGCAAATTTTAGACCTTAATTTCAAGTTTTTTTTTTTTTATTACGAATTTATTTATATTAAAGTATTTTCTATTCATAAATCAAATTTTCTATCAATTTGACGCGCAAATTTTTTTTTAATAAGAAAAATTTTTATAAATCTTAATTTTGTTAGTTACTATGTTTTGAATTGGGCAGCCGTGAAATTATTTAATTTTTTTTTTAAATTTAAATAATTAAGAATTTTAATAATACATAAATTAAATTGTGAAAAAAAAATCTGTCAAAATAATTGTTAAGTAATATTAAATTAAATAAATCGTGTATTTTTAATACTCTATAATTAAAATTCTTTCATACAATTCTTCTCAGTTTCATCTCCTTAATCAATTCTTCTGAAGAAATAATTAAGATTCTTACTGAAAAAAAATTTCTTCAATATTGAGGTTTAAAAATAGCAATTTGTTTTAAATAAATTATTACTTTAAAATCTTCAGATTCATAAATAATTAAACGATCGTTAATTAGCGATTTAATAAAAAATGAATTGAAATCCATGTAGGTACAATCAAAAATCAATAATTAACTTTCCATTTAATCGCTGTCAATATTAAATTAAAACATGTTCTTTCTACAAATAGTAATCCGTCCAATTATTTAAAATAAAATCTCAATCAATTAAAAAGTAATAAAATTATTTTACCTTAAATTCTAATTTTATATAAAATAAATTTAATATTTATATATAAATTTATGTATCTAAAATAAAATGAATGACAAAAACTAAAATAAAAAAAATGTTCTTAATTTGTTTGTAATTTTTATTTAAAAGTTTTTTAATTAATTAACCGAAAATAAATCAGTGATAAATAGAAGTACAATTGAACAAAGAATTGTTTTCAATTTCCTCATTAATCCTGAAGAGTTTCTATTTAATATGTAAATAAAATTATGCGTGAAATAAAAATCCTCGAATAGAAGCTGCAAGCTCGATTAATTTAAAAGTCCTATTGTTCCTTGGGTGTTTCTTTGTCTCGGTCCCAGGTTCTAGGTCGTCGTATCTTTATTGCCGGAAGAATTACGGCGGTCAATTAAAAGACTCGGGTAAAGCTTGTAGGTATATCCTCTCATCTACTCGAGTAAGAATATTAATCGGGTGCATCTGTTGCCAGAACTCGCGAAGAATAAATAAAAAAACAGGCTCCAAGTTAGCTGCGTATATTATTCAGAAAGTTTAAAAATAAACTAGTAAATAAAAAATAAAATAATTATAAAGTACAAGGATGTAAAAAAGTGGTGGTATTAAAAAAAATTACCATAAAAAAAATAACTTATGTTTATCTGATTATTCGCGTTTGTTGAATGCAGACGTTTTCTAACCATTTTATTTTTTAATCAGTTGCAGATGAGAAGAAAGATAAACACGGGGAACTGCAGCCAGTTGTAAGGGTGAGTGGATATTTTATTTTATTTTATTAAATCCATTCACCAGTTAATGAAAATACAGAGTGAAGTTGTGAAAAAAAAATAAAAATAAATAATTCTAGACTCTGTCGACAACGGAGAAAAATTCCCGAGAATCTGAACCAGATTACGAGGACGAGGATGAAGAAGAAGAAGACGGAGAACCGGAAGGAAGAGAGCACGTGGACGAGTACGAGGAAGAATTACGAAGCATGGCCGAGTCCCACGAAGCCATGTCCAGGGACGAGAGACGCAATTCCTCGGACAGTATTGTCAACCCTCCCGAGACGGGTTTTAGTCCCGGGATGGTCTCGTCCAGGAACTTCGACTCCCAGGAAAAGAACCTGGAGGAGAGCTCCGACGAGAGCATGACCTCCAACGAGGCAATCAGCGGCGAGGTTACCGGCCCCGCGCAGGCAACTATCCCTTTTAATTTATTCCCAAAGTTACTTGTGGTTGTTTTATTAACTTTTATTTATTATTAATATGGATCTTTTTACTTTTTATGTCTCGCCTGTCTCGGCTGGTGATACAGGAGCTTTTGAAGTTCAAGCGGCAGGCGAGCGGAAAAATTAAACGCGTACCTACTGTGAAAAAGGAACTCAGTTCGCAGATACGCTTCCAGGGGAACGACACTAATGAGGACGCGGTCAAAGGCGAACTTTTAGGGAAAAAAGTTCCCGCGACCAGACAAATTATTGACAACCATTTGGTAAGTTGTTTTTTTAATTGCGGTGATAGTTTTTTTACTTTTTGATTTTATTGGAAAATCAGTTTAATTTTCTGGGGAAATTTTTATAAATAATTCGGTATTACACAGAAAAAAAAATAATCTTGAATCAAGTATTCACTGATAGAAGGATTAGTGAATATCATTTTAAAAAAAGAAATTGATTAGTAAAAACATTACTTGAGACATTACCACAAACAAAATTCAATGATATTGATATTTGATTGCTTAAAAAAAAATCAAATCATAATTTTGTTTCTAATAGTGTTAATAATTGGGGCTTTTACCTTATTTTCTCCCAAATAAATATTTATTGAATGTTAAAAAATATTTATTAAAATTTAATAAATTAAATAATTGTCCTCAAATAAATTAAATTATTAATAATTAATAAATCCTTCTATCAATGTATAATTTTGAAGAGAATCTTTTTGATTTGAGTAAAAATTCTTTAACTAATAAATTTTTCTTGATTTAAGGAAATTTTGCTTGATTCAAGAATTTTTCGTCTTGATTCAAGACAATTACCCTTTTTAAAATTATTTTCTTGGTTCAATAATTTTTCTCTCGAGTCAAATTAATTTTTTTTTCAGTGTACGGTTCGAAACTATGCCATGTTTTAACATACTTACAATTACAAAATTTTTTTCTCCGATTTTTTTAAGTACTTCAAGTCAAAAATCTGATGGATTTTTTTATTAATATTTCTTCTGTGTTTGAATTAAAATTTTTATCAACTAAAAACATAAATCCTTTTTTATAATTTACAGAAAGTAAATTTTATTTGGTCCAAAATTTTTTTCTTGAATCAAATTATTTTTTTTTTTATAATTCAATTAATTTTTATAATTAAATTCATTTTTTTTTTTATAATTTATATAAAAAAAAAAATCTATAAACTCAACTTACATTCAATGTGATGATAATTTCCCTTAAAAGGATTAATAATGACAATCTGATCATGATTATAAGTGGTTAGGTTGTTTAGATTATCTCTCCAAAATTATAATATAGTTTCCAATTAACTTGTCAATTCAGAGATTCAAGGCGAGTGACAACGAGGTATTGCTTCAAAGCTTGGTACTCACCAGTGGATAGTTTTAAACCACAAGCATCTCGGTTACCGCTCAAGTGTCGGAATGTTTTTATTGAAACTAAACTTTGATATTATTGTCAACTCCAATAACTAAAGTTTGGATTGATCTTCTGAATTACGCCGTCTATTCTTTGAATTAATTGGAAAATTTATTTGTTAGATGACAGTAAATTCAATATTAGAAAAAAAATTATTAATTATTTTTAATCAAGTACAATTTATTGAAAAAACAATTTTTACTCCTTAATTTATCTTTTATCTTTAATAAAAATTAAATTGTTGAATTTTTATAGCCAAAAAATTTATCAGAATTTAATCATAAAATTCCACAACAATTTTGTAGAGTATGAAAATATCTGATAAAATTTAATATTTGTCCAAATCAATAGCGTTGGATTCTTGGGCAAAATAAAATAAGATAAAAGATTAAATTTAACAGAAAACAGAAAAAGTAACTCGATTGTCGTACAGAGATTTGTATTTATCGAATAAAAGGCAACAGGAGCTTATTTCTCGGGTATAGTATCGAGTCGGGCTTCTCCGGTGCACCCTTTGCTAGCCGGCAGGTGTAGGGCCGTAGCGTAATAATACTTGAGTGCTTTCAGCTGGATGACGATGGGATTAATCCCGTGCCCGGAGAGTCCTACCTCGAGAGGAGATCTTTGGATGTCGAAAAGGAAAGGGCGCCCGAAGACTCCGAGGAATATATGGATTTGGATGCGCCGACGGAAATCCTCGGAAAACTCGACAAGAGACAGCAATCCGATCTCAAGGGTCTCGAGACTTATCTCGAACCGGCTACGCACACCTACGAGCTCGAGAAGCTCGCTAAACTTGAGGAACTTCGAGTAAGGATTTGCCACTACACAAAGAACTTTACTTAAGAGATTGCGAGAGTCAAGGGCTCACTGCATTTCATTTTTAAACACCCTGCCGATAAGACCTAGCGGTGAAACTGAAAAACTTTTTCAACTCACCCTCTACTTATTCTGTATCGGGGATATTCTCTTTTATTTTTATCTTATTTCGTTTCTAGTTGTGACAACCCTATAAACTTATTTTATATTTTATATCATGGATCACTGACGTTTTATGATTTTCAAGGATCAAAAATTTTTAAATTATCTCCAACTGACAGTTAATTATTTTTTCTTGCTGGATAAAATTTATTTCAGAGATATAGTAATAATCTTTGATATTATATAGTTTCATATTATTTTCACCGATAGTCAATTTATTATGATGAGTATTTAAGCTGCATTAGAAAATGCTCTATCTATAGATACATAATTAAGAAATTACCTTGTATCTTGTGAACTATTGACATTTTTAAAGATATAAGCTCATTCCGATGTTACACTCATCGAGACCTTTCATTTGAGTACCCACATCAATTTTTCATATATTTTATATATTTATATATATCATATATATGTATATATGAAAAATATATAAAAAATGCATGTAGGTACTCAAATGAAAGCTCTTAATGAGTGTAATATCGGGATGAGCTTATATCTTTAAAAATGTCAATATTTAAGAAAGTACAGAGCAATTTAATAAAAGTCATTATTTAATAAAGCAAAATTTTATTTATTTATAATCCACAAGTCATGGCAGTCACATAGTGACTGTAAGATTGCTAGTATATTATTTATTAATTATTAAAATTTTTTAAATTATATTTAAAATTCAAAAAAAAATATTAAAAATATTTTTTATTAAAAACCTAAAGAATATATCGTTGATATTTTATTTATATAAATTTTTTTTTAATCATATCATTTGCTAATAAATTTTCTATAAAATTTAAATTTAGTAACTAAAGTTCTTCTAAAATAGAATGGAAATTGAATAATTTCTCAATATAATTATTCATTTATAAAATTAGCACACAAGTTAATTTTATATGAATTAATAATATACTATCTACAGTGACATTGATCCTTCCATATAAAATAATATTAAATTCATTTCCATTTTAAAATTATAAATAAACCAAAAGGTCCAACGAAGAATTTAAACTAGCACACTTTATAATAAATGCTTATTCAAAAAACTTTAAACAAAGAATGGTTGGATCAATAGCGAAAACTATAACCAGTAGAGCGAATGTTACCTCTAGCATAGTGCAAATTTTTCTCTCAATTTTATCCTCTGCGGGCTGAAATCTCGCTGCTGAGTGTGTGAAAAAGGGGAACGAATTTTGTCTGGAGGCAGATTCCCCCGGGGGATGAATAGAAATGCGAATGCGAAAACGGAAATGATGGAAAAAGAGACTGGGGAGAGAGGAACAATGCCCTCGGTCATATGACAAAGTGCTACATTCTGGATTTCTTGTTCCTGGGATTCTCGAGTCAATTTCCTGGCGAAAGGGTGCATACATCTGTTTCTCTCTCTTTATCCAGAAAATTTCCAGTCCTCTTGATGTGTACACAACTGGTGAAGCGGTTGGCGGTTTCAATCACACCGGGCAACATTCAAGCGCAATTTAAACGTGTGGGATTAAGTCACTCCGGTTGGGATCCCCGCGGGAAATCAGGGAAAGAGTCTTGGGTTATCAATCCCTCACGCGTCGAAGGAGTGTCACTGGGGATAAATTCTCAAGGAAATCTCATCTGTCAATTCCGTCGATTCTTCCCTAAAATAGATCAGTGATTAATTTTCAGTTAAACTTCGGCTATTAAAACTTTTAAAAGCTCCCCTTCGTAAATTATCTATATTACTGAGAGAATAAAAATTTTGTTTACAGGATAGTCATATAATAAAATCGGTTTTTTTTTAGTGAAATTGAGTATCATTGCAAAGGTCTTGATTTGAATGTCGCTATCTCCAGATACATAATTAAGAAATGACCTTATATCTTGTGAACTATTGACATTTTTAAAAATATAAGCTCATCTCGACATTACACTCATCGAGACCTTTCATTTGAGTACCCACATCAATTTTTATCTATTTTATATATTTATATATATTATATGTATGTATATATGAAAAATATATAAAAAAAAACATGTGGGTACTCAAACGAAAGCTGTTGATGAGTGCAACATCAGGATGAGCTTATAACTTAAAATATATGTTATATATATTACATAAATAAAAAATGACCTTGTATCTTGTGAAATATTGAAATTTTTAAAGACATAAGCTCATCCTGATGTTACACTCATCGAAACCTTTCATTTGAGTACCTATACATCAAGTTTTCATATTTATATATATTATATATATGCATATATGAAAAATATATAGAAAAATGCATGTGGGTACTCAAATGAAAGCTCTTGATGAGTGTAACATCAAGATGAGCTTATATCTTAAAAAATGTCAACAATTAAAAACTGACCTTGCTATCTTGTCTCCTTCTTACATTTTTAAAGATATATGCTCACTCCGAGATTCTACTCTTTAAGACCTTTTATTTGAGTACCCACATCAATTTTTCATATATTTATATATATTATATATATGTATATATGAAAAATATATCAAAAATGCATGTGGGTACTCAAATTAAAGCTCTTCATGAATGTAACATCGAGATGAGCTTATATCTTAAAAAACGTCAATATTAAAGAAAGTACAGTGCAATTTAACAAAAGTCATTATTTAATAAAGCAAATTTTCATTTATTTTTGGTACAATTTAATTTTTCGACCGATAAATAAGCACTAAAGAATCCCTTGACCTCGCAAAGCTCACATAAAATTATAAATTCATTCTGAAACATATTGTATTATGCTTTTGTAGTTGGTAAGTTTACTAGTTCTGGCTCTTATTAGTGTATTTGTATTTTTGAAATTGTTGATTTAAACTTTGAGAACTTAGAGAGTGGTTTCTTGCTTTGTTGACCAGGCAGAGGAGTACATACTGGCTGAAAACTTAATGGAGTTATTGGTGAAGCTCGCCGAGAATCCTAAGCGATGGGAACGGACTCACAAATTGCTGAGTAAGTATATAACGTTAACCTACATACTACATACTACATAGACTACTAATATAATATTGAAGCTAACATTATCGAGCGAATCAAACAACGGTATAATTGAATTTTATTGCCTTGTTTATTTTAAATTCAATGTATTTCATTTTATTTATTGTAATAATATCAATATTTATGTTTTTTTTTATCGAATTTCTTTTAATTAATTTTTATAAATAGTCTATAAAAAATTTTAATTAATTAATTATAATACACAAAGAATAAATTTTAAGCTCTACAAAAATATACTTCTATTTATCTATTTTTTTGTAGGACTTAAAATAATTTTTTTTTTTCATATTTATTATAGGATTAAAATATATTTTTATACATGTGTATATTTATTATTTAATTTAAAATATTTTTTTTTCTAATAGATTTTAATTATAATCAGAAGATATAAAATTTATACACTGATAAAAAAAATACATTTTATTAAAAATAAATATTCTTTAATCAAGAATATCATTTTTAAAACAATAATAATAATAATAATAATAATAATAATTTTAGACTTTCAAGTAATTGTTTCTCCAATTTAATAAAAACAATTTTTTAAAATTGAAAAAAAAATTTTTTTAACAATAATAATAATAATAAAAAACAAGTAACGATTATTGAAGGACAATTGAAATGCTGAACGCCACTAGATAATTATTCCAACAATAACTCAACAAATTTCACAGCAGCAGAGTATAGTAGGTCTATATAAAGAGTGAGAGAGTCCGCTGGGAACAAGCGCCTGTTCCGCCTCTTAATTACCTCTCGCAGGCAACCCGTCGTCATTACACATTATAACCACCAAGAGCTGCCCTACTTTCCTTATTTTCCCTCTATCCAAATTACGTACATACATTATAATTATTTAATTAAATAAGGCTTTGCTCGTACCATATTCACTGTATTCACAAAAAGCCCCCGAAATAAACAACTAATTAAAGTAACAAACCCTTTTTAGGGGACATGGAGAACGACCTGGATCTATGGAGAGCCTCCGACTCTAATAAGCGCGGGTACGACTTTCGAGCTTTGAGCCAGCCGGACTTCCCTATTCCTATAACAGAGAAATTGAAACCCCCTACGGAGAAGCCCAAAAAGAAGAAGAAAAAAAAGAAGAAGCCCCGGTCCCAATTTTCTACTTCAACGCAACAACCTCCATCAACCACCTCTTCACCAATCACTCCTTCTACAACTCCCGCCCCAACAGAGGCAACCCACTGGCGAATCTTCCCAGAGCTGTTCGGGTCTCCAGTGCGGAATTCCCTCCACAAAGAGCCCTCTAATTTAGCAAAGATCCATTACGCGGTAGGAAAATACCAGAAACCATCAGTAGGGTCTAGTAATCGCAATAGCGATACTGAAGACACTTCAACGGGCTACCTGAATGACCAAGTCCCGGGAATATTGGATCCTCTGTCAAGGAAATTCCACTTCGGGAAGATAAACACTCACGAGAAGGACTCGCCAAACTTGAATCAACACGAACAGCCCTCAATTTACGACCCGGAGAGGGACAGAGCGATGGTTGATTACCCTCTGGCTGGACGAGGGTATCAAGAACCACCTCGAACTCGTGTGGGCGACAGGTTCGATCGATACCGGCCTTCGTACGTCGGCGAACGTGTCAGGAATCAGATTTTCAAGGATTACCAGGAACCCGCGAGCTATCCTGGGGAGTTTCCACGCCAGGCTCCCTATGCCAAGGCCTGGAAGTACTCAAAGTACGATTTGAGCCCGCCTGTCGATCCCTACTACGAGGACGAACGCAGCAACTGGGCCACCAGGTACCGTGCCTGGCAAACTTTCTGGAGACCCATTTTCGAGATTGAAGACGCGGACGAGGCTAAAAGGAGGATGCTCTTTGGAAAGTTTTCTCCTTCTTCTTCTTCTTTACAAGGGTCTCTTTCTGGTGGGAAGAGTGATAAGGCTATGCAAATTCCTTGGCGGTCGATAGACGACTCGAGATCCAAGTCCTACAGCAGGGAACAACTACCAGTTGCAGATAAAACCAGAAATCACTCGGAGTTTAATGAAGCGCTAAGCGTAAAGTCTTCTAAGCAAATCAAGGATGAGAACGTCGCCCTTCCTAAGATAACCATGAAAACTTGGAATAGTTTGACGTCCGATCCGGCGACGTGGCCGTTTAAGCTCTCTGATGCGAAACCCTGGCCCAAAGATAAGAACGGAAAGTCTTACAACCCCAATGCGGATCTTGTAAGGAAGCTCGGGCTTGACAAGCAGGAGCGACTTTTGGAGAAAGAGGATAAGAAGTTGAATAAAGGAGTTAAGGACGATGATTTGAATTTGAATTTGAATGGGAATGGGAAGGTAAAGAATCCCTGGACTAGCGACACCAGAAAGATGTGGCCGATTAAAATGTCACCCAAGATTCAGTCAGTTGGAGCCTGGGTTATGCCCGCGGATGATAATGGCTGGAGTTCTTTCAATCAGCAACACTTTGAGGACTCGGAATGGCACAAGGGAAAACCTAGTGGAATGACCAAGTGGAATGTTGAATTTGCGAAGCCAGTTCAGGATATTCAGCCTAAGTGGAAGCAGTTTTCGTATCATAAGATTAACACCCAGCCTGGTAAATCGGGAACTGCTGAAGAGTCGAGGAGGAACGCGTTCATTGCTGTCTCGGCGGTATCGCCTTCTAAGTATCTGGGTAATGAGTGGAGGAAAAATGATGTCGAGGAGAACTTCGGAGATAATCCGATAAGGACTAATGGGGATATTGATCGCGATGACCCCAGTACACAGTTGCTACACAATCGCTGGCAGACTCAGGTGGCCAGACCTACTGATAGGAGGAATCTCACCGACCCGCTGGAGTATCAGTTAGAGGAACTCAGGCTTAATAATATTGAGGTGAGTAATTTGTAGTTGATATTCATATTGAAGGGGGAATTTATTGGGGATTTGGGAAATTTAATTGGGGTGTTAAGCTTATTTGAAATTTACTTATGGGTTAAAGGTTATTATTATTATTATTATTATTATTATTATTTGTTTTTTTAAATAAGATTTTATTTTGATTTTTAAAAAAACATTTAAATTGATTAAAAAATTTTTTTTAATTAAATTAAAAATAACATTTGATAAAAATTTAATTAGAGATATTTTGGAAAGTTAAGCTTAATTGAAATTTATTCATGGGTCAAGGGTTATCAATATTAATATTATTTGTTTTTTTTAAATAGGATTTTATTTATTAAATTTTTGACATTTAAAAATTTTAATTGATTTTAAAATTTTTAAAGAAACTTTTTTTTTTGTAAAATTAAATTAAAAGTATTTTATTTCTAAAAAAAAAAAAAATAAATTATTCGGAAATAGCTGAGTTAAAAGGAATGAGAAAAAAAGAAATAAGAGTTTAAGTAGTACAAACTATATAGAGCGCGGCTACCCTGAAAACGTCCGATCACAATCTCTGGTTGATATATTTAATACAAATTTTATATTAAATGGAACGGAAGTTTTTTTTTAATTTAAAAATTATTTATTTTAAATTATTCCATTGTTTTAATAATAATTATGCAAGTATTCATTTATTAAAACTTTATATTCAATATTATTCATTTCAACATTTTACAATAATATTTAATTTTATCACAATTTTTATTTAAAATTACTACAAAAAAAAAATATTCTCTTTTTATAATAACATACTTTAAGTATGATAAAATCATCTTTTAGATCCAAAAAACTTCAAAATTACAGTTTGAGATAAAAAAAAAATTAAAGATACTGCCAAGAAGTATAATTTGACCCTAAATATCTGATAAAAAATATAATTTTCTTTTTATCTTATAAAAAATAATAAAGTTAAGATAAAAAGTAGCAAGTAAATTAAAAAAACTTACTTTATCTACCAATAAAGCTCCAACAATAGTCCGACCTCGAAAAATTGATTACCATTAAAACAACAAACCTTCTTGATACAGCCAAAGAATAACTGAGACTGTGACGAAGGCTCTCTGACAAAGAGAGAATAAAATTACGAGGGAGTTCCCCGGAGTGCTTCCGGCGAAGAGACACTCGGGGCAAATTTAACGAAAACTCAAACTCTGAGAGTCGAAGAAACTGAGCGGGGTTCTTGCCAAAGTGGACGGGCAAGTTAACGGCGAATAGCTCCGGTTTAGCTTCTTACTCTTTTACTTTTACTAAAACTTACTCTTTTACTTTCTATTTCCTATTTTCCGTTTTCTCATTCACTCCCAGGGCAAAATATACCGGCACACTGTACTCTTCAGTATTTTTTATTATCCGGAGTGGAAGAACAAATGCCCGGGCCCGAGTTACAGTCTACGGAACTCGGGTTGCTTATTGTAAATAAAACTTTTACAGAGTAAGAATATACTCCCCCGGTAAAGTATATCTGCGTTGTAGTTAACTTGAGAGTTTGCGATTTAAAACAAAAATTATTTTTTTGGTATCAAGATTTTTGATCCACTGACAAAATATCCCGGACAAAATATCACTGCGAATAAATATTTAAATATATAAATAATCTTTTTCAGATCAATAATATCGAATAAACACACACAAAATCCATGATAAAAGGGCACAACACGTTAACAAACTTGTATTTTTTTAGATAAAATTACGTTTAAATTACAGCTGCAAATTAAGAAATGATCTTGTATCTTGTGAACTATTGTCATTTTTAAAGAAATAAGCTCATCCCGATGTTACACGCATCGAGACCTTTCATTTGAGTACCCACATCAATTTTTCATATATTTATATATATTACATATATCTATATATGAAAAATATATCAAAAATTCATGTAGGTACTCAAATGAAAGCTCTTGATGAGTGTAACACCGGAATGAGCTTATATCCTAAAAAATGTCAATAATTCAGAACTGACAACTATCTTGTTAATTGATGATATTAGCTCATCTTGACATTACAGTCATCAAGACCTTTCATTTGAGTACCCACATCAATTTTTCATGTATTACATATTTCTATATATATATATGTATATATGAAAATATGTAAAAATGCATGTGGGTACTCAAATGAAAGCTCTTGATGAGTGTAACATCGGGATGAGCTTATATCTTAAAAAATGTCAATAATTAAGAAATGACCTGCTATCTTGTCTCCAACTGTCGTTTTTAAAGATTTAAGCTTACCCCGACATTACACTCATCGAAACCTTTAATTTGAGTACCCACATCAATTTTTTCATATATTTATTAAATTTTTCATATATTTATATATATGTATATATGAAAAATATATAAAAAATGCATGTGGGTACTCAAATGAAAGCTCTTGATGAATGGAACATCGGGATGAGCTTATATCTTTAAAAACGTCAATAGTTAAGAAAGTACAGTGCAATTTAAAAAAAGTCATTATTCAATAAAGCAAAATTTTATTTATTCACAGTTCACAAGTCACGGCAGTCACGTAGTGACTGTAACGTTACTAATAAATGTTAAAATAAAATTGATACTTTTTTTCAAATTAATTTTTTTGAATTGTTTTATCGAAAAATTTAATTATTTAAGATATTTTGTCCGGGGATCAAGGATAGGAACCATTTTTTTGGTTAATTTAATATCAGATCGTTAATTAAATAAAATACACCGGAATAAATTATCTTCACTGTAGAGAAGAAGATAAGAGCTCAAGTTTTCGTGTATAAACGATACTTTGATGGTTCGCTGAATGTCTGAGATGTCCGAGGCAGATCGGAACTTCGGAGGAACAACAAAAAAGCAGAAAAGTTTGTAACAAAACAAAAAGCTCAAAGAAAAAGGGAAAAAATATTATTGTAATTTAAGGGACGGCGCAAGCTTGTCCAAATAACGAAAAACTTGGTGAGTTTGAAACTACCAACGCAATTAGGTAGACCCGCAATTCCGAAGCAACGGGTGGTCGATCATCCTCTTTTATTATTATTTTTTTAATCCTCGTTTTGGTGCTTCCAGTCCGGCGTAATTGCCAAAAAAATAAACGATGAGCATGTGGAGAATCAGGATAACTTCTGCAGTTCGGTTAACCTCGAGCGTGAAAATACCTCCAGTTTCGGGATGAAAAAGCGCTGATGTAAGATACGCGCTGGAATGTTGATGAAAAAAAAAAATAAAAAAGAAGCAGATAAATAAAATAGAGAACAAGAAAATTTATTAAAGAAAGTTGTCGAGTTACGCTCGGATTGGCAAAGTTCCGTCCAGGCGGCCTTTCCTCGCACTTGTCCAAGTTACTGCTTCAATGAATCTTCGGGAGTTTGCCACTTTTCACTTGGTACTTACCTGTACTGAGAAATTTTATCATTGATCGATAACTGAAAGTTTGGGGATCGGTTTCTATTCGCTGTACAGGCTCGGAAATTTTCTATTGCTTTAGTGATTTAATGGAAAAAATTTATATAACTTTGGGCTTTGAGACTTTTGTTTGATATTGTATACTGGTGCGAGGATTTTTTAATTGTTAATAAACTTTTTTAATTATTTTTAATATTTAATAAATATTTTTAGTCGTGATAGAGATGAATTAAATTCAATTAAAATATTAAATTTAATAAATTAACATATTAATTTTTAAGAGAATAACGAAAATTTTGTCTCCGAGATAGTCATAAGATAAAATTGATTTTTTTTAGTGAAATTTAATATCATTGTAAAGGTCTTGATTTGAGTTAGTGCCTTTTCAAGGTTTCATATTATTCTCACCAATAGTCAATTGATTATGATAAGTACTTAGACTACATTCGACAATGCTCTATCTTTAGATACATAATTAAGAAATGACCTTATATCTTGTGAACTATTGACATTTTTAAAGATATAAGCTCATCCCGATGTTACACTCATCAAGACCTTTCATTTGAGTACCCACATCAATTTTTCATATATTTATATATATTATATATATATATATATGTATACATGAAAAATATATCAAAATGCATGTGGGTACTCAAATAAAAGCTCTTGATCAGTGTAACATCGAGATGAGCTTATATCTTAAAAAATGTCAATAGTTAAAAAAGTACAGTGCAATTTAATGTATTTTGTAAAATATTGACATTTTTTAAATTATAAGCTCAACCCGACATTACACTCATCGAGACCTTTCATTTGAATACCCACATTAATTTTTCATATATTTTATATATTTGTATATATTATATATATATATATATGTATATATATATGAAAAATATATAAAAAATGCATGTGGGTACTCAAATGAAAGCTCTTGATGAGTGTAACATCGAGATGAGCTTATATCTTTTAAAACTTCAATAGTTAAGAAAGTACAGTACGGTATATCAAAAGTCATTATTTAATAAAGCAAAATTTTATTTATTTATAATTAACAAATCACGGCAGTCATATAGTGACTGTAATGTTGCTAGTAATTTTTTATTTCAAATTAAATTTAATTACTGATAAAAATAAATTTTTCTTCAACAAATTTAATTTCATAAATTAACATATTGATTTCCAATTGAAAAATCTATTTTTATCAGTTAATGTATTTTTTTTCCATTAAAAAATTAAATTCAATGCTTTATTGAAATATTAATAATTTAAATATATATTAATTACATTTTTACATTGCGCTTTAAATAAAAGTTTTATTAATTTTTAATAAATTTAGTATTTCTTCTCCCAAAATATTTATTAAAAATTACACTGAATTTATTTATATTAAAAAATCATTGTTATTGCATAATAAATTAACAGTTAATAAATTCTTGTATTAAATTAGAATACTATCTTGGTAATTAAATAAAAAAAAAATTCCAAAAATTTGTACTTTTTGTTTAAATAAACTTTATTTATTTCCTTGCTCAGAAACGCAGCGCTCCTACTCAAGCCACCTACATGTCAAACACTCTTAACTCGACGGCGACGGCTACGGCTTCAACTACTAGAGCCGACCTGGAAAAGTCAACAAAAGTCGCCCCGAAGATCGAAAAGTTTCCGTCGAAGCCCATCAAGGAGTAGAAGAATTTATTTTATTTGATATTTGTGTAACCAATCGTTGACGTGATATGAGAAGAATATTCACACCAGCTCCCCTCCTGATCTCTCATCAACTCCCGGCTTCTGGAGTCCAAATATGTTTAAGGAGGAGAAAGAATTTAAAATTTGCTAGTCGTCGATTGAATATGAGTGACATTACCATTCACCTCATGGATCTTTGGAGTTTTTTTTGTAACATAGAATCTGATATTATTATATTATTAATACGTTCTGTAAATAAATTATTGTATTAAACGGGACGAGTCTAGTCGCGGTATAATGATAATAATAATAATAATAATAATAATGATATATTATAATTATTAATTATAATTACAGTTAATTGAAAAAGAAACATATTATACAAGAGTGTACACCCATCAACAAACGTATTATCACGCACTCGATAAAACAAAACGTAACAAATCATTATTTATAAGTATTAAGTTTTAAATTAAGCAAAGCTGTTTATGTCCTTCCCCTTCACTTATGGAAATAAATAATTGTATACGTCCAAAAATTTATTTATTTATCAACTGCACCTTAATCTAATTTTATAATTATTTATTATATTTTTTTTATTTAATTTATTTCTATATTATTAAGAAAATAAGAAAAACTTTGTTCATATGATAAAATTATTGACATTTTTAAAGATATAAGCTCATCTCGATGTTATACTCATCGAGACCTTTCATTTGAGTACCCACATCAATTTTTCATATATTTTATATATTTATATATATTATATATATGAATATATGAAAAATATATCAAAAATGCATGTGGGTACTCAAATGAAAGCTCTTGATGAGTATATCATCAGGATGAGCTTATATCTTAAAAAATTTCAATATTTAATAAAGTACAGTGCAATTCAACATTTATTAAAACAAAATTTTGTTTTTTTATTGAAGAAAAATTCTTTATAATTTTTATATTGAATATTTTAAATTCAAACTTTTATATTTTTATTATTAGAAGAAAATTTTAATTGCGAAAAATTTATTATAATAATAAATATATAATTTAAAAATAAAAAAATAAAAACTAAAATGAGAAACAAATAAAAGTCGAGAATCAAAGAGACAAGTGAGTAGATGACAGCTGGATTAAAAATAAAGAGGTCTGGTGAAGAGATGATGACAGACACGAGATGTGGGACCAGCTGCCGGAGCTGATACTGACGTTAATTTTTGATCATCTGGAGTGCCGCGACCGGTTCAGCGTTGACCGGACTTGTCAATCATGGCGCCGAGCCCTCGCTGCCCCAGTTCTTTGGCGATCAATCACTATCTTCATCGACAGAGACTTGAGGAGCGACTCATCGCCCACCAAGCAGCTAGCAGTAATTATAAATTATCCATTTTTAAGATGACTATTTTTTTAATTCATTTATTTGTGGATAATTTTGACAGGGCAAGTATGGACAGTATATCAGAAAATTGGAGCTTGCTTGGTCCCGGCCGTACATTTTACCCTCTGAAACTCGGGCTACTTGGAATATTCGCGCTAAAGAGGGGGTTGAATTTATTGCTATTATTAAAAAAAAAGCCGTTCAATTGAAGCAATTTGTACTTACTGATTGGTTCTTTGGTAGCAACTGGAACCACCGGAGCAAGCTTTTGTATGCTGTTGCCCATTTTTTGAGGTATTTTTTTCTTATTTAATTTAAATAAATTTTTTTTCATTTTTTAATTAAAGAAAATTCAATAAAAAATTTCTAATTTTGTAAAAACAATTAAAATAAAATTTTTATTCTTAATTAATAAAGTAAAAATTAATTTTTCAATTTTTGAAACTATATTTAAAATTATAAAAATGATTTTTTAATTTTTTATTTCAAAACTTTGTTTAATTTTAAGTTGAAAATTTTTTTGATTAAAAAATTTTTGAGTTTTTTTAAAAAGCGCTTAAAAAATTTTAAAATAGTTTTAAGTCTCAGAATTGATAAAAAAAAAAATTAAAAAAAAAATTTTTAAATAAAATTGCAAACAAAAAATTAAATTAATAATTTTTAATAAGAATTAAAATTAAAATCCTTTTTTTGTTAGTTTATAATTTAAAAAAATGAATCAAAAAATAATTTCAAACTTTCTAATTCTATAAAATAAAATTATCAATTTTTAATAAAAAATTTTGGAAATAAAAAATGAAAAAATTATTAAATAAAAATATTTTTAGATGTCAGCGAAATTTAACCTCCTTGAGTTTGTTAAACGCCAACCTTGGAGTCAGCGATGTTCTCCGTCTGTTCCGAGCAGTCTCGTGGTCCTGCGGAGATTCTCTGGAGTACCTAGACATAAGGGGAGCCTTCAAAGATTGGCAAGCACCGCACAGCAACTCTAGGTCAATAGTAATCAAGCTCATATAATCAACGACAATTTAATTATTTTAATCAGCACGGCCCCTTTCAGGGCGAGGGCGGGGAAGGGTAAATTTTAATTACAATTACAGATATCTCCAGTACCTAGAGCGACTCCACACACTGACGACATTCAAATTGGACTACCCGGCGTTGTCTGATCTGGCTCTGAATTCGCTCGCCCTCGCTGCTCCCAAAGTTCTCAGAGAGCTGCATATCTCTGTTCGCGATTCTGATGCGCGTCAGCATACTATTCAAGACGCCGCCTGGCACAATCTTGTTGCTGTTTGTCCTCAACTAACTGTTTCTTACACAATAGGTGAGTAAATACCGTACCGCCGTCTTATCTGATGGTGATGGATTATTGTTTGAGAAAAAGTTTATTGCTTTGTCGCGGGTACAATTGTTGGTTTGATTAAATTAAGCTTTTTTTAAAATATCTTATTGATTAAAATTTTTTTGAAGTGTTTTTTATTTAATAATAACTTTTTTAAAATTTTCTAAGACATTATATTTAAAATAATTGCAAAAATTAATTTTTTTAAACAATTTTTAAAGCAAAAAATTAAAAAAATTTATCTAAAATTTTTTAATAAAAAAAAAAATAATTTTTTAAACAATATTTGAAGCAAAAAATTTATTTAAATTTTATTGATAAAATTATTATTTTTATTTTTATCATTATTATTGTTATAATTGGCTTTATAAATTTATTAAAAAAAAAAATGCTTCAATAATAATTTCCAATTTTTTGACAATCAAACATTAATTAAAAATTGCTAATTATTACTATCAAATTACAACTAGCTATAAAAAATATTTGAAATAATTTTTTAATGAATAAAATGTGCAGTATCAATTTCTTTGCACAAAAAAAGACTTTAAAATTAAACAAAAAAAAAAAATAAAAACATTGTTATATTTTATAATTGATTACATGATAGTTAATTTTTAACTAAACTTCAATGAAAAGTTAATTATTCTATTACCCTTTTGCTTTACATACTGTTAACTTAAAAAATAAAAAAAATTACATTTAAATTAATTAAACAATTTCACAAAATTCTTGCGTCTATCAAAAAAAATATTATTAAAAAATAATATTATTTTATTTGAAGTGTTAAAATTTTTCCAACTGATAAAATGTAAGCTTCAAAAATAAACTAAGAATCTATCAAGTGAATAAAATCTAAAAGATTTTTCGATAAAATTCGCTGTAAAAATAAATTGAGGATACAAAAGCGAAAAAGTAAATTTAAATAAAACAATTGCAGTAAACATATCGCATTATGAAGACATATCTTATCTGCTGGTTCCAAGCGTGCCTCTATCGCGTTTCCACATGTACGGAGGTCATGTCTGGGATCAAAGCCGCTCGAGGAACTTTCGAACCACTATCGGACTTCTCATAAGTTATTACTCCAAGAGCCTAAGTACGGACTAAAATAAAACAATAATAATAATAATAATAATAACAAGTAGACGAACTTTATGTTTAAATTTAAACTTAAATAATAATTGGGAAAATTAAACAGAGGTTGCATTTGACAGGTGAGGTAATGCTGCAACTAAGAAACAACCGCGAGCAGCTCGACGACCTCCTGGTTTCTTTGGTGGAGCGATGCAGACGGCTGACAAACTTCCAGTACAACGGAATCATCCGTAGCGTGGGAACCCTCCAGGAGATTCTAAACCTCCAGATAGACAACAAAACTTCCTTTCGAACGATCCACGTCAAGCCGAGCACCGTCAATCTCCGGAACCGCGGCGCTTTGGATGAGATAAACTACAATTACAACCACCGGATGCTAGACAGAGGCATCGACTTCCGAATTGACGGTCCCGCCTTAAGTTTCTGCTGATTATTTTATTTTTTTTTAGAGCAATAAATAAAAAATTTGTCCTAGAGATTTTTTTTTTTAAACAGCAATGATTTTTCTAACGAGCTTGCGGCGGAAACACACAAAGGGTTGTTTGTACGACAAGCATAAAATGTTGAGTAAAAGCTCCGGTACATTGATCGCATGAGCACTCGGAATATCAAGTACCTAGGGGTGGTATTTCAACCCGTCTGTGTGCATGTAAGTGTAAGTGACACTGTGAGTCCTTACGAATGTCATTCCACTGAGCATAGAACCATTTTCCACATATCTATCTATCTATCTATCTATCTTTCTATATAGATATAGGTAGACATACTCCATTTCCCTCTTGTCCGCTCGCTCGACGCTATTGTGGAATTTTAAAAATAAACCTTTGACAATTTAAATCTCTATCGCGCTGGAATGCGCATCAGTAATGATGCCTTCCTTCTATGAGTAGTCACATGTTACCGGTAAAATAAAACGGAATTTCGGGTCATTTAGAGCTTTTGCTTTTTTTTTAAGAGTTTTTTTTGGGTGAGATACTGCCAAGAGGTGCTTTTTTCAGAGAATAGAGAGTTATTGAATGGTAATTGAGATTTGGACACTGATTTTAAATTGGATAATCAATTTCTATTGTTTGGTTATTTATTGGGTAATTTTTTTTTTTGGAGGAATTGGTAATGATTACGAGTTTTTATTCGTTGGAATTTTTTTTTTATAATCATTTAATAATTTTTTTTAAGTAATTATTAAGACGTAAATTTTTATTGTTTTTTTAATAATAATAATAATAATCATTTTTAATTTTCAGGAGATTGGCTCTTAAGTCTAATAAAAACAATTTTTTAAAATTGAAGAAAAAATTTTAAATAATAATAATAATAATAATTAAAAATATGTTTTTGGAGTATTTATACAAAAAAAAATGAATTTTTTAAGTTAAATTTAATTTAATTACTAAAAATTCTGACCTAAATTTGTACCTTTTAATTATTTTATATAATTTTTAACGATAATTAACTTATTATGATAATTTTTCGGAGTAATTATAAATAGATTAGAATTTTAAATTAGATAAAAATTATTCTTGTACATTTTATACATCAAATATTAATTGATATAATTTTCAAATTTTATTACGAATATATTTATAATACAAAAAGGATTTTTATTTTTAAATTTTGTATTAATAGTCAATTTATTTATGTCAAGTTTTCGAAAAAGTTTTGAATATTTTATTAGTTCTATAAATTTCTTCATTAAATAATTAATAGTCGATTCTAAAATTGTCGACTATTACCAAAAAATTCAATTAAAAACTCCCAAAATTATATATTACAATATCAATAATTAAATTATATATACTTCATAATTATTACTTTACATGTCACGCAGGTCGTTAATATTCCCTCAATACATCAAATTCCCCCAAATAATAAAATTAATACGTCTAAAAAATATTAATTACAAAAATTACCAAAATTATTTACCTCAAAGCGTCAATCAATAAGCTTACGCTGTCTGAAAATATAATGAATAATGGCCCATTAATAAACAACTAACCACAACTCTGTAAAGCCTGTCAATTAATTTTCCAATATTCAGTACTTAATTAAAAATCCGAAACAATAAAGCTCAATAATAAAATGAATTTCAAACTTGATAAATAAATAAAATAATTTTTATTTGTAATATAAGTTCTATTATTATTTTATTTCTATTATAATACTATTCTTATTTGTCATATACAATTATTGTTGGCAATATAAATTCGTTCTGCCACATTTATTTATTAAATTATCAATGCTAAATCGTAAAAAAAATTATTAAGCAGACTGCCAAAAATTTGTAATAGTCTCAGAAGGATCCTGTAGAGTTGTGAGAGGTGAATAACGTTTAGCTCTCAGAGTTACAGGAGCCAAACGGTATTGTTACCATAAGAATACGTTAACCTACTGGAACTTTTTACTAACTAACTAACTACTATATAGTTCCAATAGCAAAATTTTTTTCTCCGTGTGATACAAAATCGGAACTTTTTTTCGCGAGTATTTATTTGAATTTTTAATAAAAAATCTATCGTGAACTGAGTAGTTTTTTTGTGGATGATAGTTTAATGGGTGACAGCAATTAAATCATTGTGTGGAATATGTATCCACTCTGAACACTACAAGCTCAGAGTCATGAAATAAGGCGGAAAACAATGGCTTGGAAACGGGAGGACAAAAAACTAGACAGAGTTGTATTAGAGTAATCCCCAAATGAATTCAACGGAGCAAATATCCGGTAACCAGACTAATGTGACATTGTGCACACTACAAATAGATTTTTTTTTTTTTTGTTTATAATAGATTAGTTACACTGTAGACCGTACATTAGTTACTGATTGAACCGGTCTCCGTTTCAATATGCTGAGGTTTACTCTACACTGGATAAGTATAATGTATCCTATATCCTATATCCTATTATGGATTAATTTACTGAGCAGCTCGAGCATGCAGCTATCATATCAGTACATACAACACTTTTGGGTATTCCTCAGTATTTGCTGGTTCATTAATTTAATAGATGCACCGTTTGTCATTCAAAGCTTCAATAATTGCCGGATTACATTTCGATCTCTTGCCTTGATTAACAAAAATTTAAAGAAAAAGATATGTTAACACAAAGAAAATTATATTGTTATTTATTGACTTTACATCAAAAGCGAATTTTTTATTTTATTATTATTTAGTTTACAATAGTGTAACTTAAATATTAATAAATGCCGTTGTAGGAGTGTGAAAAGTGAACTTTTTATTTATTCTATTCAATGCGTTGTACTAGACTGCGCGAACGTTGATTGGAGAACAAAAATACACTACCTTAGGTTTTACAATTTTCTGTATTATTTATTGCAAAAAAAAAAATATAAAACAGAAGAAAAAAACAGCTGCCCCTGGTGGATCCGATTCACCGGAATTTACGGTGATTTCACCGTGCACGTCCACCGCGATTAACGGTAAAATCACGGTGATTTCACCAAAAATTACAGTTTTTTTTTATAAAAATATATTTTTTTTAACAATTGATTAAATAAATGGCTATCAACAATTGATAGCCCATGATTTCGCAAGAATAATTGCGACAATCAGTTTCAGCTAAACAAAATCTACGGGATAAGACATTATGTCTACGAAACTCAAAATTACACGAAAAGGTTACGGCACGGTGTTTCAGGGAAATACCGTATTTTACCTTAAATTCACCGTAATCGTTTCATTTTACCGTGATTTAAGATCTCAAAGAATTACGGTGGTTTTACGGTGTTTCATGAAAATTTCACCGTGAATTACCGTGAAAACACGGTTACTTTACCGATTTTTACCGAGAAGTTCGGTAAATAACCGAATTACGGGTTTTCACCGTGAATTCACCGTGAATCACTTTAATTACGGTATTTTACCGTGATTCAGATCCGCCAGGGTGAGGAAAAATATTTTTTTATTTAAATAATTTATTAATTTTATTGTTAGTATTATTATTATTGCTTTGTTTTTTCTAGACAACTTTATGCGTGTTAAATTTTTATGGAAAATATTTCCTATTTCTTTTACTTTCACCTGCTTTGTATGTTGAATTTTCAATGTTACCACAAGACATTTATCAGTCTGTTGGAAGAGGGTTGTTGGTTACCACACTACCCCTTTCTATTTAAAAAAAAAAAAAAAAATGATGTGGTGTCGTGGGACACCAGGTAGGAACGAAGTTCCTTCGGCTAATGTAGAATCGACACAAATTGCAAAAAAAATCGTGCTCAATTTTATGTAGGTTTTCTTGATTTTTCTCTTAAATTTTGCTGATTAGTTTTGCATGCCTTAAGCGCGAAGCGCGCAGGTATGCTCTACTCTCTCCTAAAAATTGTGATTTCGATTAAAACGTGATTTTCATAATTTAAACGAAAAAAATTATGGATAAAAAGCATATTGAAATAAATAATAGTAATTACAGAACACGTTAAAAAAATTTTCTTATCGATTAAATAAGATTTCTCAGAAAAAACTCGTTCTTCTGATGAATTAAATGAATAAGTATCACATTTTTTTTTACACGCTTTTTATTAGCTTCACTTGTATGTCAGTATGTAACTCTCCGTGGGTAATTTGCGCGCCTGCGGCCTATAATTTTTCTCTACAGTCGATAAGACCGGACTTGATGTTAATTTTAATTTCTAATAATTATCTTTAGCCAGTTTCTCTAATATTGACAAATTTTCGAATACTAACGAGAATTTTAATCCTACAAAACAAATAATAGTTTAAAAAAACTAAAAAATCACGCTTTTATAAATTAACCAAACTAAAAAGTAAAAAATAAATAATAGTTTAAAAAAAGATATTATGAAAATGATAATCACTCTACTCACATCTGTCAATAAAATATTTATAACTATTGACACCATGCACCCCACGCTTTTTTTAAAATAAAATAATTTTTTTTTTATTCACACTATTATTAATTAATATTTATTGAAATTTTTAACACTATTCTTAATTTAAATTTATTTTCTATTTTTTACTTTGATTTTCTATAAAAAGCGTGTTTTTAGTTTTTTTAAACTATTATTTATTTCAGTTCGGTCACGCAGCGAAATCCCTATCCCCTCCAAGCCTGCCGTAAGGAACTTCGTTCAAAAAAATAAAATTCCTTCGGGGACAAAGGACCCTTAAATCCTCTTTCAGCATCTCCCTACATACAATAGAATATCGATACATGTGTAGAGTTAATATCAAAACTTGCTTAACAAAGTTACCCAATTAATTAAAATTATTATTATAGACATGGGAGAGAACAGAGCTCATTATATTCCGTTAGTCGGAAGTTACCAAATTGTCAAAGGCAGGGAATGCGCTTAAACTGAATCTATAAATTTTCCACATATGATTATGGTTACAGAGTTGCTGAAGGCGGTTGTCTTCAAAGTATTTTTTAAATAATTTTATTTTCATCTTTCTTCTTCTATTCCAGTTTAAATAAGGATAAGCATAACAGAAGGAAGTGCCGCGTATTAAATCCATTACACGGGACTCTTATTGCGATGTCATTGCACGTACTTGACACGCCCATTAAATTACATTCCATATGGCACCATCGCGAAGATACGAAATAGGAGAAACGAGTCTTCTTAATATAACTGGGTATATATACGTATATATATATTCATATATAAAGCGATAGTATGAATCGCAGGCTCCGTACGGATAAGTACTGCATCCCGCGATACACTTCCCTTCTAGCGGTTGAATACCCTACACCCTTTCCCTCAAGACGAGCTTTAAATGGAACTCGAAAAAATTTCAAGCTTTATCTTCTCGTAGATCTGAAAGCAATGAGGATTTTTATTTTTCGGGGAAAAGAAATAAAAAAAAAAAATAGTACATGAATATAAAGTGTCTTTTTGTGGGAATCTTGCTGCTTTTTATTAAGGTCGATCCTATTGCCGAGTCAATTTTATATTCATCTTGGTTATTACCTTCCAGAGATCAATCCCGTACGTTCGCTCTCCTTTGCTGACAAGTCCTTTGTAATTTACATTATTTTTACTGCTATTTTATGCGTGTAATGTCATTTTTTTTTCTTATTTAATATTAAACTTTGACTCACATGGATTTTAATGAAATTTAAAGATATGTAAATATAGAGAATTTATACTAGATTTAAGAATAAATATTTGAGCACGGTGGAAAAAATTCACAGACTCTCTGGCGGTGTAAATGATTTGCTGTGAAAATTTTATACCGCAAGAAAGTCAGTTTATTTTCTGAGTCGTGAATAAATTTCATTATTTCTGAACTGTAAATTTTATATGTCGGGTGGTAAAGTGATCTGACAAATTTTAAAAATTTTATTTCAATTTAATTAAAGTCAGAAAGATTTATTTTAATTTTTTGTATTATAAAATATTTATACAAAAATAAAAATAAATAGATTTTTACATAATACTAAAATCAACATTAGATAATTTTTTTTATTTTAGTTGAAAAAATTATTATTTCCAATTTTTGGATAAAAAAAACTTTTTTTCCAATAATTAATTTAATAAAAAACTAGCAACCTTGCAGTGAATTTGAAGATCTAAGCTCATCCTGATGATATACTCATTAAGAGCTTTCATTTGAGTACCCACATGCATTTTTGATATATTTTTCATATTTACATATATGTAATATATATATAGATACATGAAAAATTGATGTGGGTACTCAAATGAAAGGTCTTGATGAGTGTAATGTCGAGGTGAGCTTAAATCTTTAAAAATGACAGTATGAAACAAGATAGCAAGGTCATTTCTTAATTATTGACATTTTTTAAGATATAAGCTCATTTCGATATTACATTCATCGAGACCTTTCATTTGAGTACCAACATGGCATTTTTTATATATTATATATATATTTTATATATTTATATATTTGTGAAATATATAAATATATAAAATATATGAAAAATTGATGTGGGTACTTAAATGAAAGGTCTTGATGAGAGTAATGTCAGAGTGAGCTTATATCTTTAAAAATGTCAATAATTTACAAGATACAAAATCATTTCTTAATTATGTGTCTAGATATCAAAATTAACATATTTTTACAATAAATTTATTATAATAAAAAAAAATATTTTATTGATAAAAAATGATCAAATGTCTCTAATTTATTTTTTAAAAATTAAAAAAAAATTATCAAATGTTTAATTCCAGCTTAAAATTTACTTAGACTTCGACCTGCGAGGTTGTTCTTCAAAACGCGGAGCAACTTTAGAATTTTCATGGCTCTTGCGATGTTTTTTCAGAAAATGATTAGTAACAAACCCTTTCCCACAATCGGGACACCAGTAAGGTCTGTCGCCGGTGTGATACCTCAGATGAATCACGAGAGAAGACCTCTGGGTGAAATGTTTGCCGCATTCGTGACAAGAGTAGGGTTTTTCCCCAGTGTGAGTTCTCCGGTGGATTTTGTAGTTCTCCTTGGTGGTGAACTTCTTCGGACATAAATCACAGGCGACGTCTCTCTCGCCAGTGTGAGTGCGGGTGTGAATATCAAGAGCTTTTTTCGAAGAGACATTTGCTCCGCAGAGGTCGCACAGGTACTGGTGGCGCTTTTTAACGCGGTGGCGGTTCCGGATGTGGTTCCTGAGGGTTCCTAGAGTGGTAAAGGCCAGCTCGCACTCGTTGCAGTTGAACGAGGACTTGTTCTTCTTCTTCTCGACCTCGTAGTGACAAAGTCTCAGATGAGCGATCAAGTTCCTCTTGTAGAAGTAATTTTTGTCGCACGCGTCGCAGCGGAAGCGGAAATTCGTGTGGACATTAGCGTGCTCCGCAAAGTCCGCCTTGGAGATGAAGCCCTTCTTGCAGATGCTGCACTTGAACAGAAAATCTTTAGCGTGCCGTCGCTTGTGGGTTTCTAAATTCGTTTTTTGGTTGCAGGTGTACTCGCAGACGTCGCAGGAGAATTTTTTTGTACCAGAGTGGATCAACTTGTGTCGCGCGATATTCATCGGGCTCTTGAACGCTTTCCCGCACTCGTCGCAGCTGAAGGCGTTCTCGATCCCGTGAGTGTTCTTCAGGTGCTCCACCAGCTTTGTCATGTGGAAAAAAGACGCGCTGCACTTGACACACTTGTGCGGCGTTTTATTTTTTTTTCGACGCTGATACTCGCCGGATCTGAAATTAATTTAAAATTTCTAGACATATTAGTGACCTTGATTTTTTTAATTATAATTACTGAAAAATTCACTTGACTCTAGTTGAATTCTATTTTTTAATTATTAAAGTTAGTCACATGTAAAATTTTAATTTTTTAATTTAAAAAAAAATGAAAAAAATGTTTTTGAGAAAGAAATTTATTATCAAAAAATTTGGAATGATTTTTATTTAATTAATTAATTAATTCAAGGCACTTTTTATTAATCGTAAAAAAAAATACATTATTCATTTATTAACAAATTAATAAATAAACAGCACTATGTAACTGCCGTGACTTATGAAATATAAATAAATAAATTTTGCTTTATTGAATAATTACTTTTGTTAAATTGCACTGTACTTTCTTAACTATTAACGTTTTTAAAGATATAAGCTCATCTCGATGTTACACTCTTTAAGAGCTTTCATTTGAGTACCCACATGCATTTTCATATATATTTTTCATATATACATATATATAATATATATAAATATATAAGATATGTGAAAAATTGATGTGGGTACTCAAACGAAAGGTCTCGATGAGTGTAATGTCGGGGTGAGCTTATATCCTTAAAAATGACAGTAGGAGACAAGATAGCAAGGTTATTTCTTAATTATTGACATTTTTAAAGATATAAGCTCATCCCGATGTTACATTCATTAAGAGCTTTCATTTGAGTACCCCCATGTATTTTTCATATATATATATATATATGAAAATTGATGTGGGTACTCAAATGAAAGGTCTCGAAAAGTGTAACATCGGGATGAGCTTGTATCTTTAAAAATGTCAATAGTTCTCAAGATACAAAGTCATTTCTTAATTATGTATCTAGAGATAGAGACATTTAAATCAAATCCAAATCAAGACCTTTGCAATGACGCTAAATTTCACTAACAAAACCGATTTTATCATGTGACTGTCCTGGACACAAAATTTTTCTTATTCTCTTAATAAAATAGATTGATACTCACAATTACGCAAAACATTATTTTAATTATCCAAAATAAATTTTTAAAAAATGAAAAAAATTTATAAGCAACAAATTTATTATTAAAGCATGTTAAATAATAATCATTTAATTAATTAATACTCAAAATAAATTCAAGGCACTCTTTATTAATTGCAAAAACATACATTATTCATTTATTTAACATATTATTAAATAATTCGATATTAAATATCAATTACATAAATAAATACTTTAATGGCACTTAATTATGAATAAAATTACCGTTTTTAGCCAGCTCATTTCATTTTCAATTTACGGTAATAAAATTTTTTAAATAAAAACTTAAAATATAAAAATATTTTAATTGAATAAAAAAATAATTTTAATATTATTTTTAAAAATATAAATTAATTCACCAAAAAAGCGGTCAATTACATAAATGCTTAATTACTTATAAATAAAATTTACCGCTTTGATATTAAATTACTTCATATTAACATACAGTCAATAAAATTTTTTTAACACAAAATTTCAAGTGGGCAAAAACATTTCTTAAATTTTATTACTTATACTTGTAATTATAAAAAAAGAAAATGAAAGATAAAATTTAATTTTTCTATTGAAAATCTTCAAATTTCTGAGACTGAGTCTTAAGCTTAGGAACAGGAAGCACATGTTGGTAAACCATAGTAGGGTCAACCTCTTTAATATACGAGTCAATGAAAACCGCAGGCATGGGAGGGAGTTTTCCCGGATGAGTTTTCCTGTGACTAGTCAGCGCGGGCTTTTGGACAAAAGTTTTCCCGCAAATATCACAAATATAAGGTCGCTTGCCAGAGTGGAGAAGCAGATGCTGCCGGAGGCTGTTTCTCTTGGCGAATGACTTGCTGCAGATTGAGCAAACTGAATCCTTCATGTGCATATGAACTCCCATGATATGATTCCTCAAATTTTCCTTCATCTTAAAACTCCTCCGACAATAGTCGCATAAAAATTCTACGCGGCTCTCCGAGTCCACGTGGTTCTCCAAGTGTTTCTTCAACCCTAGCTCAGTGACGAATTTCTTCTTGCAGAGTGTGCAGTGGAACTTGCGCTCGGTGTGGTAGGATTTAATGTGGTACCGCAAAGTCTTCTTCTTCTTTGTAGCGAACCCGCAGAATTCGCAGAGAGAAAATTCCCCGTTTTCTTCAGCTTCTTTCTTCAAAATTTCTCTTCTTTTGACGTCTTCCGGCTCGCAGAAGTGGCTCCGGTACTCCACGTAAGTCATTTGGTTCTTATAACACTTGCGGCATTTATACTGCTTTGTTAATTCATTATGTTTGTACTTTTCATGAAGAACTATGCGCTGGAAGTCCAGAGAACTGAACGAGCAGTGGCGACATTTGTGCAATTGACATTTTAAGATTTTTATCATTTCTTCGGGATGACATTTTGGCTTGGAATTTTTTATGTATTTCTTGGAATGCGTACGGATAAATGAGTCCGTTGTTGGATCACCAGGAAGTCCCTCGTAAGAGATATTGCAAGTCTTGCAAAAATAGTAAGTTAATAAATTTGTGGGAGTCGAGGTTTCTGATGCATTTTGAAACTGCGCGCTTGCACTTTTTGAATATTGAGTTTTTGGTGATCTAAAACATAAAATATTAATGTACTTTACTAATTTTTATTGTAAAAATTAATTTAGCTGATGTTTAATAATTTAAAAAATTATGAGAATTAATTTAGCAGATATTTAATAATTTTTTTAACCATTTAAATTTAAAATTGTGGCAAAAAAAAAATGAGAAAAGAAAATTGACTTGTAGAAATTTTAAAAAATTATAAATGCAATTTTTTAGAAAAAATTTGTTAAATAAAATTCAAAAATTATCAAGTGACTGCTAACTTTAATGTCAATAAAAGTAAAGTTAACCGACGTTTTCAATTTTTTGATTTTTCTTTAATAATTAAATTAGAACAAAAAAATATTTTTTAAAAATTGCACTTGCAATTTTTAAAGTTTTTTACAAATGAAATTTTTTTTTTCTATTTTTTTGTAATCATTTTTTTAATAAAAAAAAATTCTAAAAATTTTTAGATGTCGGCTAACTTAATTTTCATTAATGTCATGTATATAAACAGATAATAAATTATGGAAAAAAATTAAAAATGCAATTTTTTAGAACAAATTTATTTGCTAAAAAAAATTAAAAATTAATCAAGTGACTGCTAACTTTAATGTCATAAAAAATGATAAAAATACTTGAAATGTAGAAATTTGAAAAAAATGCAATTTTTTGAAATAATTTTTTTGTTGAATAAAATTAGAAAATTGTTTATTTTATAATTAAGTACTTACATTATATTAGGTCGTGTCTTCATTTTCGTTGAATTCATTTCAATAAAATATCATAACCTTACTTTATTTATATAAATTTAATATATTTCACTATATTAATCTTAATTATTATTTTTTTGTACATTAAATAATTATTTAATTAATTTTTAAACAAAATTATTGTTATTTGTTGAAGAAATTTTATTTTAAGTTACAAGTTATATTAAACTCTTGACTTGAAGGAACAATTGAAATTGACAGCTGAAGCTGACTTTTGGTCAGCCATTTTGAATTTTTCTACCAACTGTATAAAAATATTTGATTTAATTTAATTAAAAAAGAAAATTATTTTAAATTTTATTGAAAATAAATTAATAAATTTTTTTAAATGAAGATTATTTTATAAAATCAATGATTTAAATTATAAATATTATTTTTTTAATTATTATGAAGAATATTATCATACTTCAAAATTGAAAAAAAAGTTTAAATAAATGAAAAAAAAAATAATTTAATTAAAATACTTTTTTTTTAATTATTTTAAATAAACAAGTAAAAAAAATTTAGTAAATTTATAAATGTAAGTTGAAAAAATTTTTTTAGTCAAATTTATTTATTAAAATAAAAAGAAGAAATTATTAATATTCACTGACTTGTCATCTTTTTGATCGATATATGTAAAAATAAAAAAACAATGAATACTACCTAAGCTATAAATAAAAAACAATTTCTTATAAATAATATAATTCATCTCTTGAAAGTGCTTTCAAATCACTGGCAATAATTCCTCACTTAAAACCTCTTTACTCTTGAATTTAAACCCCAATGGTTGAATAATAATCTTCAGAAAATAGAATTCAGTCCTCTCATCTAAAACAGATTCGTCACATTAAAAATCCAGCCGATCTTAAATCACTATAGATACTTACATCACCTCACCTTCCTCGTCTCCCAAAACCCAGCCTTAAAAAAATCAAATAAAAACTCTCCAAATGGTGTGAAATATTTATTAAACTCAAACTGTACAAAGTATACTTAAACACTTAATAATAATTATCTTATAAAAATATCTTCGTCTTAATAACTTACTAACTACCAATATTAGAAAGCAGACAAAAAAAAAAGAAGAAAACAAACTGAATAGTTTTATTAATTAAATAATTTACAAGATTCAATCACTGATTGCCTCGACTTCATCTTCATTAATTTCATTAGCATTACCGTTCTCCATCAAATACCCCGCAGTGAATTCCTTAACAAGATCCGCAATAGGCATAACGGGCAGCGGGGGATGAGACCCGGGGTGAGTTTTGCGGTGGCAAATAAGCCCGGGCTTCTGGGTGAAAGCCTTGCCACAGATATCACACACAAAAGGCCGCTTGCCCGTGTGGATAAGTACATGCTGGCGCAATTGCGACTGCCTAGCAAAGGCTTTATTGCAAATAGGGCAATTGTGAGGCTTGCTACCAGTATGCACCGCCATGTGTCTCTTAAAAGAGTCCTTTTTAGTAAAAGTCTTCCCGCATTCCGCGCAAACAATCTTCTCCCTCTTTTCATGCTGAGTTAGCATGTGCTGTTCCAAATTCTCCTGAGTAACCATTCTCCTCTTGCATATCTTGCACTCAAACTTAGGCTTAAAATGCGCCCATTTTTGATGAACATACAAAGAGCCGCTATTCTGGCAAAGCTTTCCACAAACAGTGCAATTAACAGGCTTCTCTTTGTGATGGAACCTCACATGGTTAGTCAAGTCTCCCTTGACCTTAAACTGCTTAGGACAGAACTTGCACTGGTGTTCAAAAGTATCAGTGTGCTTCCTGATAAAATGCGACTGCAGCGAATGCTTAGAGCGACATTTAAACCCACAAACCACACAAGGAAAGTCTACATTGCTAGAACCCTTCTTGGGCCAGGTCTCATGCTTCCGTTCCAAATGCGCAGCAAAAAGGTTCTTTTTGAGCGTTCTATAGTCACAAACCGCGCAAACATAGGCTCCATCCTCCTGAATGCAAACTTTCTTCTTATGGGTCCAAGCCACGTGCTTCCTAAAGGCAATCTTTGAAGGAAAAGTCTCGGAACAAAGCGTGCACCTGAATGTAGGCGTGCTCTTAGGTAATATCGGTCGGTACCTAGTTTGCCGGTGGTTCTTAGTAGCGACACCTACTGGAACTATTGTAGCCTGAGGTTCTTGCAATTTTTCCACAGCACCAACGTCATCTACATCTTCTTCATTTTCAGTAGCGTACTCAATAACCTGAGAGTCTATGCTATCAAATTCAATATACTGAGGAACTTCTTGAGCCTGCTCTTCTTCTGTAATACTCTCGCTTATAATATTACCCTCCGCATCCACTTCAATATCTTCCTCCAATTCAACTTCTTCACCTTCACCTTCATTTTCATTTTCATTTTCATTCTCATACTCGCCCTCGATCTCTCCTTCACATTCCTCAATTCCTTCGACTTCCTCAACCTCCTCCTCAATAAATTCACTCTTGGATCCAACTTGGTTATCCAATTCTATTTCTTCTATTTCTTCTGACTCCACAAATTCTTCCACTTCCTGGATCTGCTCCTCTTGATCTTCCAATTCGCAAGTATCGTTTTCTTCATAATTATAACCTTCATAGCTATCATTATTGTTATCGTGATCATACTGGGTGTCATTAACATCATTATCATGATCTTCATCATCATTATCATCATAATTTTTGGTACTATTATCCATAGAAACAACATTCTCCGCAAGTTTTTCAATAGTTACAATGCTCCCTTCTATTTTACACTCGTACAAATCACCCCGAGTAGCTTCCTTGCCTTCCGTTCCACAAATATTGTTAATCAATATCGGTTTCATCTCAGCTTCCTCGGAGTCGTTCATAATACTTGAATCGTCGTACTGATAATCGTAGAAGCTAGCGTCGTTTTCTACAGACATATCGTGTTCATTTTCTTCTTCCTGGTGCAGAACCTCGGTTTTGCATTGGACTGGGAGGTTGAAGTCTTTGATTTGCTCTTCAGCTTCTGGGTCGGCGTCTTGGTGCAAGAAGTTAATCTCAGAAGAGTGGCTTGGAGGTTCCAATTCAAACTCGGGCTGGTCTTCGGAGCTAGGGATGGTATCTATGTTCACTGGCTCCTCGTCTTCAGGTACAAAGGCGTAATAAGGCTTGCCGTCGAATTCCAATATCTGCCATTTACGCATCACCACTGACTCTTTGTCAAAGATGAAAAATCCACGTGGATCCCCAGACGCTCCCGTTCTGCCGGATTTATTGAGGTATCTGAAACACCAGCGATGAATTTGTTAGTCATTATTTAGCGAGGGTACTACGCAGTATTCGTTTTATTTCGTGCGGAGATTTTTTATTAATAATATTTAGTACTCAGTATTTTTTTTATTAGTTTTTATGTTCACTTTATCTTAAATTTTTGATACCAGCTTTTCTTTTTTTTTTTATAATTATATAAGGAAATTTTACGAGCGAAGTCATTGCTTTGTGTGACTGGCAGTGATTCGTGCTACAACATAAAAATATTATTATTAAAACATGAATAAATATTTAATTATCGTTAATTTTTTTTATTTATTTATTTATACAGTACATTTTTTTACTCAGCAATAATTTATTTATTGATAACCATTGATACAATTTTAATTATATTTTATTTAATAAAAAAAATTATTTTTTCACTGAAATTAAATTACTATAATTCAGTAAAACCTTGCTTTCACTTCTTAAAACTTTGTCAATAGTCTTAAACTTTTTCAGTTAAATGCACTTCACTGTTTAAATAATTAACTCCACTTTCAATCACTGTTTTTTAGATTAAAATAAAAAATAAATAAAGTACTTACTCTTTTCTTTGACTAGTTTAATAACTTTTATTTTTATTGCTAATGTTAATTTAATAAGCAAACTTATAGAGTAATTTATAATTAAATAACACACCGGCAATTTGTACTAATATTTAACATTGAATATTTATATTAATAAGCAAAAATTAATACCGCAAGTAGAATACGGACAATTTTTTTTTTTAAATTTGGAAGTTAATTAATATCCTTAGCAATAACTTATTACAAAATAAATTAATTGTCACGTTTGCTACTTTCAGTGCTGAGAATAAAGAATTAACATGAGACTGAAGTCAGCTGACAGCTGTTAATTTTTTAACAAAAAAATTTTTTAACAAAAATATTCCACGTGTAGAAAATTTAAAAAACAATGCATGGAATTTTTTTAGTTCTAATTTAATTAATGAAAAAAATAAAAAAAATTGTTTAGTACAATAAAAAAAAAATTTTTTTAACAAACCAATTTGCTTCAAAAAATTGCATTTTTAATTTAATAAAATTTCTAAACATCCATTTTTTTCATGAAAATTAAATGACATTAAAGTCTTAACCATTCTTCAATTTTTTTTAACAAATAAATTTTTTCCAAAAAATTATTTTTAAAGAATAGCATTTTTAATTTTTTAAAATTTCTGTCAATTTTTTTATACTTTTTTTTTTTTACCATAATTTATTTTTTTTTTTAAATTCTTAAAATTATCAAATATTTTCATGAAAATTAATTTAAGTAGCAGGTATTTAATAATTTTTCTAATAAATAAATTACTGCATAAAAATAAATGAGAAAAAAAAAATGGACATTTAGAAATTTTAATAAATTAAAAATGCTATTTTTTTAAAATAATTTTTTGGAACAAAACTTTTTGTTAAATAAAATTAAAAAATAGTCAAGTGACAGCTAATTAATATCATTTTTCTAATTAATTAGTCAAAAAAATTTTTACTATAATTAAATATCTATAAAATAAATTACCAACATGTCAATTAACTTCAGTATCTTAAACAAGCCTATTTATCATAATTAAATTTATTTAGTAATAATATTTCCCAGAATATGATCAATAAGGACTCGAGGTAGCGGCGGATGGTTTCCCGGATGAGATTTACGATGACTGATCAACCCCGGCTTCTGAGTAAAGGCTTTCCCGCAGATATCACAAACATAAGGCTTGACACCAGTGTGGATCAATAGATGCTGCTTGAGCGCAGTTCTTCTAATAAAAGTCTTGCCACAAATCTGGCAAACATACGGTCTATCCCCCGTATGAATCCTCATATGAATCTTCAACCTACTGTTCCTCGAAAAAGTCTTCCCGCACTCATCACAGACCGCTTTTTCGCGCTTCTCGTGCTGCCGGACCATATGCTCATTAAGATTCTGCTGGGTAACCATCCTTCGTTTGCAGATGTGGCACTCAAATTGCGCCTTGTAGTGTGCAAATTTCTGGTGAACGTACAGGGAGTTGCTGTTGAGACAGGTCTTGCCGCAGACGTCGCAAATAACCGGGTGCTCTTTGTGGGAGAAGCGGATGTGGTTAGTCAAGTCGCCCTTAACTTTGAACTTTTTCCCACAAAATTCGCAAGTAAATTTATAATCCTGAGTATGTCTTCTCGCGATGTGGATCTTTAGTTCATACTTATTTTTATTTTTGTACTCACACAGGCTGCAACTGAACACCTCAGGCACGCTGGACTTTGAGGTGTGCTTTTTGAAAATATGATTTAACAAAGATGATTTCTTCACCGCTTTATAATCGCACTTATCACAAGACAATATCAAATTCTCATTGGCCATAATTCTGTGCCGCCTTTTGTGTGAGTACATAGTGTTTTTATTAGTGCACTTGAACCCGCAAATATCGCATTGTAATTCTCCGAGAATTTCACTTATTTCTTTCTCACTAAGCAGCTCTTCATCGAGAACCTCCTCATTGATAGTTTCTTCCTCACTTGAATTCAAATTGTGATCCAAGGTTTCTTCATTAATTATTTCTTCTTCCTGTTGAGGCTCCAGCTGAGTTTCCTCTCCAAGAAATTCATAGACTACTTCAGCATTTTCTTCAGGACTAGAGAAACCTTTAAGCTCAGCTATCAACTCTTCCTCAGTAACAATTTTAAACTCACCACCGCTGGTATCTAACTCATCAATAATATCATCTTCATCTGCCTTAGAGCAATGCTCGCGCTCCCTGTGAGCTATCAGCTCTTCCTGGAGGTTGCAATTAAATTGACAAAGCCGACAATTAAATTCTTTTTTATTATTAGACTTTTTGGAGCTCACTTTCTTTAGGACCATTTTATTCAGCCGCTGGCTAATGTTGTGGTAGACTTTGTGCCGGTTTAACATACTCTCTAATGGAAAGTTTATATTGCACTTGTCGCAGAAATAATTTTTTTTTATTGTAGAGCCTCTTGTTTGCGACCTGGTGATCATCTTACCCACTCTTCTGACTCGGCTCCTATAACAAAAAAAATTACTGTCATTACTGCCTTTATTTCATTATTTTTTTTTTTTAATTCTTGTTACTTACTCAGAAAAATTTTTTTTTTCACAACACTTTTTTTAACCACTTAATTATTATTATTAATTATAATAATTAATTATTATTTTTAATTTATATAAAATAAATACAATTTTTATTTTTGTTTATTATTATAAAATTTACAAGTATAAATATTAAATTGTGTAATATAAAATTTAATGTTTAAAGTAAAATTTAGAGCTGGAAAAGCCGGAAAGTTTAACCGGCATTTAATTCCCCTGGGTGATGTTGAATGTTGATGCTTGAACGTTTATTTCGGGAACTCAAATTTGCAATCGTTTAAGCGAGTAACTTTTGATGGGTTTGCAGTGAATAATTGCTTGCATAAAACCCACATGCTGCTGAGTATCAAACTTTATAAATCCTATTGCGTTTTAAATAGTGTAACTTTTTACGAAAGGTCATATTTAGTAATTTTGAAATATCATTTCCTTTTGGAGAATTAAGTATCCAACTTTCACCATCAATTGTACTAAAACTATTTACAAACTAATTAAACATTACTTTAGTTCAGTTTTTTTTGCTCATTTCTTAGTAAATAAATTAGCCGGGCTTTTTTTTTTCTCGCAATCTTTTCAGAGAAGTTTACCCGTCTGCTAATTTATAGCCAATTATTAAGGATTTATAAGTTCTGAGAGCTTTTACTCAAACTTTTTCATCCTTGGCATCTTCAGTCTTGATCAGGACAATGAAATCGATCCTTTTAATTAATTTAAACTTTTAAATTCTTCCTAAAAATAAAAAAAAAAAACATTAGTTATTGTTCAATCATAATCACAATAATACTATTTTTCATTATTATTATTATTATTATTATTATTATTATTATTATTATTATTATTATTATTAGTTTGGCAATAGAAATTCTATAATAATAATAACTAGCAACCTTGCAGTTATTTGTGACTGTGTGACTGCTGTGACTTGTGAACTATCAATAAATAAAATTTTGCTTCATTAAAAGTAATAACTTGTTAAATTTCACTGTACTTTCTTAAATATTGACATTTTTAAAGATATAAGCTCATCCCGATGTTACACCCATCAAGAGCTTTCATTTGAGTACCCACATGCATTTTTGATATATTTTTCATATATACATATATATAAATATATAAAATATATGAAAAATTGATGTGGGTACTCAAATGAAAGGTTTTGATGAGTGTATCATCAGAATGAACTTATATCCTCAAAAATGTCAATAGTTCACTAGATACAAGGTCATTTCTTATGTATCTTGAGATAGAGCATTTTCTAATGTAACCTAAATAATTATAATAAATTGACTATCGATGAAAATAATATGAAATCTTAATAAAGGCACAAATTTAAATAAAGACCTTTTTCTTAATAATAATAATAATAATAATAATAAAATTACCTTTAATAAATTAATTATCATGACTTTTATCCCTAACCCCATGCAGCAGTTCAGTAATTTTAATCGGCGGGGGAGTAGGATGTACTCCAGGGTGTTTTTTCCGATGAAGCATCATAGGTGATCTCTGAGTAAAGCTCTGACCACAAATATCGCACACATAAGGTCTCTCCCCAGCGTGTGTGAGTAAATGAACTCTCTGGGAGGACAAGCAGCTGAAAGTTTTCCCACAGACCGGACAGAGGCAAGATTTTTCACCAGAGTGTCTCCTGAGATGGTTTGCAAGTCCCTGCTTGAATTTAAACTCAACTCCGCACTTCTCGCACACATATTTCACCTTGTGGGACTCTCTGTGAGCATTGAGGTTCTTTTGGCTCTTGAATTTCTTTTTACAAGTCACACACTCGTACTCCTTAACTTTTAATTTGTGCTTGTAGAGAGTGTGAAAGTAAAGCGAGCTTCTTTTGGAATAAAAGCTCCCGCAGATGTCGCAGACACAAGCCTCGGTGTCGTGGTCCTTTATATGAGTCGTAAAGTCCGATTGCACTTTGAACTTCTTTCCGCAGTGCGGGCACTCGTAATTGTAGTCATCAGTGTGCTTGCGGATAAAGTGGACCTTCAAATAGGGCTTTGTTTTCGCCTTGAAGTCGCACAAACCGCAGGAAAAATATTCTGCCGGTTCCCGGTGGGTCTCCATGTGTTTGTTTAAGTACACCGTGCTTTTAAAGCTCTTATAACAAGTTTTGCACTTGTAAGGTCGCGAGATACTGTGCTTCAACATGTGCGAGCGAAGCTTGCTCTTTAAATTGAAAGTCAGCGGGCAAATTTCACAGAAGAATCTTTTTATTTCTTCTTCTTTAGATGATTTTTTGCTTTTTATTCCCGTTGGGACTTTGATCTTTGTAATACTGTTAATGGATCCTAATTTTTTTTTACTTCCGCAAGATTTAATCGGATTGTCATTAATTATCTCTTTTTTTTTTTTGGAGAATAAATTTACTGAATTTGCTGAGTTAATTTCTTCTTTTACTGACAAATTTACCTCCTTTGACCTAAAAAAAATTTATAAATTGTCAATAAATTATTTCTAAAATAATTATTAATTTTTATATGAAAATTAAGTTAGCCGACATTTAATAATTTTTTCTTTTTTTAAATTATTACAAAAAAATAAGAAAAAAAATTTCATTCATAAAAAACTTAGTGCAATTTTTTAAAAATATTTTTTTTTCCAATTTAATTAATGGAAAAAAATAAAAAAATTAGAAAAGTCGACTAACTTCAGTATCATAATTTTTATTTTAATTTTAATTTAACAAACCCATGCAATCAATATAAATATATCGCGTTACAGATGCCATAAGGGCGTATAATAAAAATCCTATTTTTTTTTTTTAAGTCCAAAAAAAATTTTTCTTCATACTAAAAAAAAAAAATTACAATTTTTATTGTAACGCAATATTCTTTATAAAAATAATATTCCCGAATATTAATTACTTGCTCTAAAATTTATTTTTACTACGGGTCTTCTTATTATCACCACTATGAATATTAAAATAACGATAATGACGACTCGGAAGCTCGTATTATCCGTAATTATATTCACAAATGATAACTTTTCATTCAGGACTTGACAAAGCTCTTGGAGTTTTAAATTATTCAAAGAACTCTTGATTTATATTAACGATCTAGAAAAAAAAAATAATAAATTAGAGTTTTTCATAGAAATTATATTATTATTATTATTATTATTATAAAATATTAAGCTTACCTTCTTTTCTTCTTTTTAAGATATTACAAGGTTTTTTTTATATTAAAAATAAGTACTATTGTGTAACCAAGTATTATAAAATCTATTTGTGATGTAAAATCGAAGTAATACATGAATTAATACATAGAATTTTTTTAACAATACTAGACTTATATCAACCCTATTTCATTATATCAACAATACTTAAAAATCAACGCCTCAAGATTAAACACTAAATCACTATAGGAACAGTTTTTTAAAATTATTAATTATTAATAAGATAAAAATAAAGTTTAAAATATAAAATGGAATTTTTTAACACAATTTGATATTTTTATAACAAAGTTATTAATAATATTAGTGATAGAAAAAATAGCAGACAATTAAATTAAAATTTTTGAATTGAAACTGAGACATCTGACAATTTTTTAGTTTTTTTAAAAGAATTAGTTAAAAAATAAAATATGTTAAAAAAATAATTTCTTTTGTAATATTTTTAAAAAATAATTGTTTTTTATAAATTTTTCTTACATTAATGTATTCATTTATTTATTTATTTAGTTATTTATTAAAAAAAATTATCAAATGTCATTAAAAAATTTCAATTGAAAAAAAAAATTTTTTTTTGAATTTTTAAAATGTTAAAAATTTTTTTTAAGTTTTAAAATGTCAAAAATAAAAAAATTTTTTTTTAATTTTAAAAATTTTAGCTAATTAAAATACCAAAAATAAAAATTTACACACAAGTAGATTTCTGATGAGCAGTAAGATTTCCCTGACACGAAAATCCCCTGTGACAAATCTGGCAAACATAAGGTCTCTCCCCAGTGTGTCCCCTTCTATGAATAGTCAACGTAGACCTCTGCGAAAAAGCCTTAGGACACTGATCGCACTTGTAAGGTTTCTCTCCAGTGTGAACCCTGCGATGCATCCTAAGATTCTCCGAATCAGTGAACCCTTTTCCGCAAATATCACAAACATAAGGTTTCTCTCCCGTGTGGATCCGCCTGTGTTTCTTCAAGTGCTCCGCACTGCTCAGACTTTTCCCACAAAAATCACACAGATACAACTTTGTCGGATTGTGGCTCTCCTTGTGCCTAAATAGCGACCTCTTAGTAGCCAAGACTCTTCCACAGATATCACAAGTAGTACTGGTGACTTTATTGGCTTTAATTTCTGGATGAAGACGCCGGCAGTGAGCGGAGAGCTGGCGTCGAAGGTAAAAAGAGCTGCCGCACTGCTCGCAGCCGAAAGGCTTGTCCCCGGAGTGGATGTTGTAGTGCTCCTGCAAGTCGCTGGCCTTTCTGAAGTGCTTGTCGCAGTCGTTGCACTTGTAAGGCAGCCCTGCGTTGTCAGTGTGCTTCAACATGTGGACAGTAAGAGCAGCCAGGACAGTTGTTTCGTAGTCGCACTCCTTGCACATGTAACTGGGCAGAAAATGAGTCTTTTCATGGCGAGTCAAGTCGCGATAAAGCCTGAATTTTTTAGGACAGTGCTTGCAAGTCAGGTCTCCGGTTGTGTGTCTCACCAAGTGCTTCTTAAAATTACTTCTATGCCGGAAGACCTTGCCGCAAGTATTGCAAACCAATTCTCTCCTGGTCCGTGTCTCTCCCTCGATTTTTCCATCGACTTCCTTGTCGCTACCCTCCAAATCGGACTCAATCTTCCCCCGGTGGCTCTTGGCATGATTCCGAAGACTCGCCAAGGTCCTGAAGACCCTCCCACACTCCTCGCAAGCGTTTTTTGTGAGTCTCCTCTCGTGAAATTCGGCCTTGTGCTTCTTAAAGGTCGACTGCGAGGCGAAGAACCTCGCGCAGGGCTTGCAGTAGTACGCCAGAGGCATGTCTTCTTGATTAGCGACCTCGTTGTCTTCCCTGAGCTTTGATTTATAAGATACTTCCGAGTTTGAAGTGTACAGAGGGTCTACGAGTATCTTTTCTTCTTGAAGCTCCGGGTGAGTTGTCAGTCTTAGATCTTCATTACTCGGGTAATACGGAGACACTTTGCAGCTGGGAGGCTGAGTGAATCTGAAAAGTAAAATTCAACGAATCCATAAGTCATTTTTACCTCTTCAAGATAGTTTAGTTTAGTTTTATTTATAAGTTTTGAACTTTAAATCTTCTTACGGAGAAAATCCTGTAATTTAATAAGTATTAATAATACAAAAGGTGAGATGTAATATCAAACTTCAATTAGAATTTTTCTTTTTATTCTTCGTACATTTTGTTACAAGTCTCGGCTCTCATAATACTTTTTTTTCTTTATCACGATCACTTTTTTTATATTTATATTTTATTATTCTATTTTATAAAAATTAATACTTTAAATTACTTTTTTTTTTTTTTTTTTTTTTTTTTTTTTTTTTGCGACATGATTAATTCTTCAGTTTGTATTCACAAAATTAGCGGGTTCCAATCGATTAATTTGTGGTGTTTTCTGCCTGGAACTTCTTCAACTTCAAGTGTTACCACGGTTGTATAATTTATATTTCTTCGTCCAGAGTTAAATATAAAAATGAAATTTTAAATAATTTTTAATGATAAAAAATTCTAGAAGATCATTAGGTAGGTTCAACAATTTCAAATAATTTTAAATTATTAAAAACTCTGATTAAATTTTCAGAAAAAAATTCAAGAAGATCATCACGCAGGTTCAACAATTTTTAATGATAAAAAATTCTGTCTAAATTTTCAGTAAAAAATTCCAATAAATCATCACGTAGGTTCAACAATTTTTAATGATAAAAACTCTGTCTAAATCTTCAGCAAAAAATTCCACAAGGTCATCACGTTTCAACAATTTTTAATAATAAAAATTCTGTCTAAATCTTCATCAAAAAATTCCAGAAGATCATCACGTAGGTTCAACATTGTGAGCTTTACTGTGAACATTAAGCAGCGCCCTGGAGACAAAAGATTTAGTGCAAATCGAGCACTGATAAGGTCTTTGCCCAGTATGATACCGTTTGTGAATAACCAAGGTCGAGTGCTGAGTAAAAGACTTCCCGCAGGTGTCGCAGCTGTAGGGTTTTTCTCCAGTGTGCGTGCGCTTGTGGACCACCAGGGTGGTCCTTTTGTGAAAAGCCTTGCCGCAAACATCGCAGACCAGAGACTTCTCTCCTCCATGAAGCCTCAAGTGGTCCTGGAGCGAGCCTCTGGAAGAGACTGACTTTCCGCAGAGATGACAATCATATTTATTCTCTCCAGTGTGGGACTTGACGTGGACCATTAAAGAGTTCTTATACGCGAATATTTTCCCGCAGAACTCGCACTGGTGCTTGATGGGCTTGAAATCCGGGTCGTGGACCTTAGCATGCCTGACCAGCGTGTGGTTGTTCGGGAAGGACTTTCCGCAGTGGTGGCACACGTGCTCCTTGGCGCCGTGCTTGATGTTCATGTGGCCGTGTAGCTCCGCGTTGGTGAAGAATCCCTTGCCGCAGAGCTCGCAGGAGCAGATGTACTTCTCGAAGTGTCTTCGCTGGTGCATCGCCAACTGGGACGCCTGGATAAAAGCGCGGCCACATACGTCGCAGATAAAGTTGCGCTCCCGGGTGTGGATCCTCCGGTGCACTGCTAAGGTGCTCGTTCGCTTGAAGGACTTGTTGCAGATATCACACTGGTACGGTCGCAAGTCGCTGTGCGCCACCAAGTGCCCCTCGAACAGGTTCTTTAATTTGAACTGCTTGTTGCAGATTTTACACACGTAGAAATTTGCTTCTTCTTTTAGCTTCTTTTCAATCCCTGGGCTTTTATTGTTTATTAACTCCGGCTTTTTTTCCGCGTGAAACAATCTGAAAGTAAATAATTATTTTTTTTATAAGTGATATTTTTATTTTAGGTAAACTCCAGCTTAATTTTATTTTTTTAATTAAATTAGTTTTTATTTGCGCCAAGATTTTTGCCGCTAATTCAAAATAATAATTCATAATTAATTATTCAAATTTTTTATATTAAAAATGAAATATTAGTCATATAAAAAATTTTTTTTAATTTAATTTTATACAAAAAAATTGTCCCTAATAATTTCAAAAGTAAAATTCATAATTATTCCAAAATTTTAACTTTTTATTAAGAATTTTAATTTTTGAAATTACAGCTAATCCCTGTTTAAAAATAGTAATTGAAAAGAATTAAAAATGATGAAATTCGAATTCTTTTCAATAATTTCAATTCTTCTGTTTCAATATATCACGACCCAAATTCCAAAAGGGCGTATTATAGCAGCTAGATAGTAGGGTTTTACACCAAAAGGGCGTCTAAAAAAACTTTCAATTTTGCTCTGAAATATAAAATTTAACTTTAAAGTAAAATTAAACATCCTTTTGGCTTTGGATATTTATTTTTTCATTTTTAGGCTTAGAAAGTGTTAATAAAGCAATTAGTAAAAAAAAAAAAAAAAAAAAATTATACGCCCTTTTGGCATTTGAGTCTCGATATAGATATACAGTTTGCATGTGACCGCTTTTCAATTTTTTTTAATCAGTATTCTTAACCAGGAAGATATTGGTTTTTTTTTTTTTTTTTGTTAAATCATAAGAAACATTTTTTTTATAAAATTAATTTTTGAATTTTTGTTTAATTAATTCTTTTTCAAAGACTAGTATTAAAAATTTAAAAGATTTATTTTAAAATTCCGGCAAAAATTTGGGTCTTAAATTATACGCTCGCTTATCACAAAAAATAATCAATATGAAAAAAAATATTAAATAATATTAATAAAATTATTTAATCCAAAAAAAATTTTTATTAAAAAATACTCACTTTAATTACCTGCCTAAAAAAGTCTTCCCTTAAAAAAAATATCTTCACTCTTAAAAATAAAAAAAAAACCACCAGGAGTGTCAAATAAAATAAAACCCCAAATATATTGAATAAAATATATTTAAACATCTTAAACCTAATACATTCGTATAAAAACTAAAATCCTAATCCTGAAACTCTTCCTCCAACTCCTCAAAGTCAATAGCTTCAACCTTCTCCACCAGATTCTTGTGTCCCTTCATATGAGCATTAAGCGAGCCATGCTGAGTGAACCTTTTATGACAGACCTTGCACTCATAAGGCCTCTCACCAGTGTGAGTCCTCAAATGAACAATCAAGTACTTCCTGACACTGAAGCACTTCCCGCAGACTTCACAAATATTCGGTTTTTCTCCCGTATGAATCCTCATGTGGACTTGCAAGTAAGACTGACTCGAAACAGTCTTCCCACAGACTTCACAACTGATCCTATTTTCCCCAGTGTGTTTTTTAACGTGACCTTTAAGCGAGGTCTTCCAGTAGGTCTCGTAGTCGCAGAGGTTGCACTTGAATTTCTCCCTTTGAGTATGACTCTTGGCATGGAGACTCAAGTACGAAGCACTGGCATAAGAAGAGTTGCAAATCCTGCAAACGAAGGGTCTTTCTCCAGTGTGGGTGAGAATGTGCCGCTGGAGAGACTGTTTAGTGTAGAACCCTCGCTGGCAGTACTCGCAATGCGCGTAGTACTCCTTGTTGTGCTTCATCATGTGGAGCCTCAAGTCGTAAGGAGACACCTTGGACATCCCGCAGATCTCGCAGCAGTATCGCTTGTTGTGCTGCTTTAAATGGATCCTTAAAAATTTATCAGTTTTAAAAGGCTTGTTGCAAATATGACAAGGAAAAGGTCGCTCCTCTTGATGCATCTTGATAACATGTCTCGCTAATTTTTCATCATCGTAAAAAATTCTGTCGCACTGTCCACATTTTTCAGCTTGAGGCTTTCCATGGTCCAGTCTATAATGTCGCTCCCATTGGTGGAAATTCCAAGATTCTTTCCCGCAGATTTTACACTTGTATCTTTTTCCACTCTTGGGTTTTTCTTCTTTTTCAGACTCGGGGTTTACTGGCTCGGGTTTGGATTTTACTGGCTTGGGATTGGGTTTTACTGACTTTGGCTTTGATTTTGACTTGGTGGTGGTACTAGGGTTGATATTTACTGGGGTATTAAGATTAATTCCAGTACTAGGAGGCTTGGCAGGAGGGAGAGACAGTGGAATCATCGGTGGTGGCTCCTTAGTAGCGCAGTTAACTCTCAGTAACTTTATTTTAATGACGTTTAATTTAGGCTTGTCGTCTGAAGACTGGCTCATGGACCCTTCACCCTCCTCCGGGATATTGTGCGTTAGTACGTCGGATATCAACTCGCTTTTGATAGCTGTGATAGGTATTTGCTCTACTGTTGCGTACTTTGCGTACGCGTACGACGGACCCAGACCGGGATACCTGAAAATTATAAATTGTTTCAGTTCAACAAACCTGAGTAGTTTTTAGTTTGATTTCTATTTAGTGGGTTTTTATTTTGAGTTTACCGTGGAGATTTTTACTGTTTGCCCGGGTAAGAACTTTGTCGAGTTGCTAAAAATACATTTTTATTTTTTTTTTTTTTTTTCATTTTTTAGGAGTGTATGAATAATTTAAATTCATCATTTATTGATAAATTAATTTTTAATAAATATTTGTTAAAAAAAATTTTTTTTCTTAAAGATCAAAATTATTTTAATAAATAAAAATAATTTTAATTACCAATAAATAATAAAAATTTTAATTTTCATAAAAATAAATAATTAAAATTTTAAAATTAAACTTTAATTGCATTATTTACTTTAAATTTCGTATAAGAATAACCAAATGCTATAAAATAAATTTAAATATTAAAAGCTTTCAATTATCATCACTATTCATACACCTCTAATTATACAATAATAGAGTTTAATTAATTACAAAGCAATACACGCTTAAATACTTTTTAATAATTAAAAACTATTATTAAATTAAATTAATACTGCTTTTAAATACTACAAAAAAAATCCTTGACCAAAAACTTAAACATAAAACAACCAAAACTTTTTTTTTAAATTAAGGCGAGGGAGGAGGAGTTCGATGTGTGCGAAGATGACCAGTAAGCGCTCCGCGCTGAGCAAAAGCCTTCTCGCAGCGATGACACTTGTAAGGTTTTTCCCCAGTGTGAGTTCTTCTGTGCTTAACAAGATACCTCCTGGAGGCAAAAGATCTTCCGCAGAACTCGCAAACTTCTGGTTTTTCTCCAGTATGAATTCTCACATGAACTTTCATGTAGTCCCGGCGAATGAGTTTCCCGCAATACTGACAAGGAAGCTGACCTTCTCCAGTATGAGTCCGCATGTGTTCTTTAAAACAGTAGCTGTAGAAAGTTTCAAAGCCACAAATAGCGCAGGAGTGTTTTTTCCTGGTATCAGGCTGCTGGTGAATCCGCATGTGGGTTTTGAGGTAGCCCTGACTTTTAAAAGGTTTCTCACAGACCTGGCAGACGAAGGACTGATTACTAGATTGGTCATGCTTGGTCATATGTGTCTTCAAATTAGCTTTCAAATAGAATCCTTTTTTGCAAACTGGGCAAAATTCAGTGAACTCCTTGTTGTGCCGGCGAACGTGGATCGTCAGGTCGTACTCTGAAGTTTTCTTCGCGCCACATATGTGACACACGTGAGGACTGCCGTGGAGAGCCATGTGGACCTTGAGGTACTTTTTCTTCTTAAAAGTCTTCCCGCAGTTGAAACATTTCAGCAAAACTGGTTCTTTTTCAACTTCGGGAGTTTTGGGGGATTTTGTGCAGCCGATGTCGTCGATAGTTGTGTTATGAGCCAGCAGGTCTAGCTCTGTTTCAAAGTTTTTAGCACATGTCTCGCAACGGTAAGCTTTGGTTTTTTTTCGCCTCTTACTTGGTCCTCTAGATTTTTTTCTAGTTCTTCTGCGGGGTCTGTAATTAAAAAATTGCAAGTTTCAACCAGCGAGCTGATTGTTATCACATGCTAGCTCGACGGAAAATCAGGATGCCTGCTCATGCTCCAAACTGGGAAATTATTTCCTAAAGAATTTAAATCGCATGCAATTATTACTTTTTTTTTTTTTTTTATTACGCAGAAAAAAATTAACTTGAATCAAGTAAATAATTTTGAAGTATTTTATATTCTTGATTTGAGTAGAAAAATTCTTACACTGATAGAAGGATTTGTTTATAATGGTAATCTTTAAAATTATTTTCTCGGTTTAAGAACCTTTTTTCTTGATAAAAGTTAATTTTTTTTTTTTCGGTGTACTTATTGAATTAATTTTTGGAATTTCAGGAGTGAGAAAGGTCAGGGTTGAAAAAAAAAAAATAAGTATTTATTTGAAAAGTATATAATTTTATTTAGATATTTATACATAATCAAAAAAAATTCATAGAAGGAAAATAGACACCTTTGAAAATAATTTCATTTAAAATATATTAAAAATAGCTGTTGACGGTGATTAACGAAAAATATTAGATAGTATAATTGAAATATTAATTAATTAATGTAGATTAATCTAAATAAAATATCAATTCTATCTATTTTTTATTCAAATAATTAAATACAAAAATCACTTGATTTGTAGGCAACAGTTTCGCTTTAAGAATAAAAAAAAAATATTCTTGCGTTTAATTATTTACATATAAAATTATAGCTTCACCATTAACTCACCAGCCAACATTGATAATTTTTTTTATAATTATTATTACATTTATAAATTGATTTATTGATCCATGCGGCAGATAATTATCAAAAATTGCACTTTAGATTATTTTAGCGCCATGGAATGTCGTAAAAAAAAATGGCCAATTGGTTTGAAAGTATATCGAACGATCGGTGGCTAAAATGCTTTTAAAATAACTAGAAAAAAAAATATATTTACTCTGTACAAATGCCGCGGACAGATCAATGTGATCATCAACTTTAATCAATCAATTATTTATTTATTTATAATTGTATTCATTTATTCATCTTTCTTACTAAGGCACAGAATCTTTGTTTCGCTCTTCAACAAAGTAGAAACTTAAATGTGGACATTAATTAAATCGTTTAAGATTTATATACATTTTCGAATCATTAGTCTTATAACTTTATCAAACATTTGATTACGCTACCTAAATAAACAAAAAATACTGAAGCCCACCTTTAATCAGGTGGTTTACTTTTAATTTAATTTAATTAATAATAATCGTTGCTATAATTGTATAAGAAAAAAAAAAAAAAACTAATTTTAGGCACTGATAAAAAAAATTAACTTGATTTAAAAGCCAAAATTTTGAACCAAGAATATTATTTTTAAGAAAATGTACAGTAAAAAATTTTGCGTCAAAAAACTTGGTGTTAAAAATTTTTTAATTATTTTAAATTATTTATTAACATTTATTTTGTCAAATCAATACAACAAAATGTTAAATATTTAACATAAAAATTTTTAACACAATGACGCAAAATTATATAATCACGAGTGCAACAAGGAGGATAGTACCGTTTTTTGCAGCGAGAAGGGATCGACTGTTGCAAATTTTTCTTGTCTCAAAAAAATCATTTTCAAAATAATATTTTTAGTTCAAGATTTTGGCTCTTTAGTCAAGTTAATTTTTTTTATCAGTGTGTAAACTAATAACCAAGTAAAATTTTAGCAACACAACTTATTGACAACGGACAGATTTATTATTCTAATATTTATATATGCATAACAGTTACTGAAATAAATAAAGTTTCCCGTAAAAACTGTATACAATCATTACCATAATGATAATTATAATAATATTCTATTAAGTATAATAATATAATCTCATATCGTCAATAATCTTTACTATTACAGCTACTTAAACTTTTAATTAACCGGTAGCAAAGTTGAGGCGTTTAATTATTTTTTTGTGCTTCGGAATTGGTCGGCAAATTAAATCCGTACTAATAGAAGGATTTATTAATAATTTAATTACTTATTAATAATTAATATTTTCCTATTAATAATTTAATTTGTTTCAAGACAATTATTTAATTTTAATAAATCGTATTTTCTGAATAATTTATCAACTGTTAACAAATATTTATTAAGTCCTAAAAAAATCATTTATTAACAGTTAATAAATTTCAAATACAAAAAAATCCTTCTATCAGTACCCAAAAAAAAAAAAAAAAAAAAGAAAAATTACTCACAATTTTTAATATTTACAATTATAAAAATGTACTTGTTCGAAGTTAAATAAATCTAAGCGAAACACAAAAAAAATCCTCCACAAAATATCACTCTTAACCAGACAACAAAACAGAAACCGTCTCAATAACACGCGTCTGAGGATGATCATGAAATTCCTCCTGAAGTTCATCAGGATGTAGCTCATCAACTTGCAGTTGGTCTGTAATATGTTCAGTGATGTGATCAGGCTCATTCATAGAATCACTCATCTCCAGCTGATCATGAAAGCTTTCCTCCTCAAGTCTATCAGGCTGTATCCGTAGCTCGTGATGAATGTGCTGCTCGCGGGCGTTCTGCTTCGCGTGGGTCTTCAAGTGGCTGTTGAGCATCGTCTTGGAAGCAAAAGACTTCTCACAAATGGTACAAGGATAAGGTTTGTCTCCAGTGTGTCCCCTAAGGTGAACCACCAAAGTAGTGCGCTGGGTGAATCTCTTCTCGCAGTGGGTGCACTGGTGCGGTCTCTCCCCAGTGTGGGTTCTTCTGTGGACACTCAAATAGTTCTGGGAGATAAAGCTCTTGCCACAGTGGTCGCAAATGTGCGGTTTCTCTCCAGTGTGCTTCCGCATGTGGACTGTCAAGTAAGTCTTGCTGGAGACAGACTTTCCGCAAATTGAACAAATGTAATCATTCTGCTGGCCGCCATTGCCGTGAGTCCGCATGTGGACCATCAGGACTTGCTTCCTGGAGAACCGCTTGTTGCAGAGCTTGCAGAGATGCTTCTTCTGAGGAGGAACGTAGTTCGGCTCGTGGAGCTTGGCATGCAATCTTAGGCCTTGCTGGTACCTAAAGGTCGCATTGCAAGTGTCACATTGAAAAGGCATCTCCTGGACCTGTTCCTGCTGGTGTTCTTGCTGATGTTCCTGCTGGTGCTCCTCGAAGCTGTCCATTGTGTAGAACCTCTGGTGACACAATTCACAATCAAATTTGTACTCTTGCTCATCATGATGCCGCTCATGACTCGCCAAGTTCTTCTTGTGGGGCGTTACGTAATTACACTGGCTGCAAGAGTAGTACTTAGACTCACAAATAGCGTGAATTTGCTGCTCATGCTTGTTAAGCGCTGCAGCGGTCATGAAACTGCGCCCGCAGTTATTGCAGACGTAAACAACCTTGGTGTCATCGATCTCCGTGGACTCGATCACTTCTTCTGCTGTGTCCTCTTCCATCCCCATGATCTGGTACTCTTGCTCTGATCTCAAGTGCTCGTGCGTACTCAAGTGGAGCTCAAGATCTTTGTCGTTCAAAAATCTATCCCCGCATAGCTCACAAATAATTCCCTCTGGTACAATTCCCTCTTCTAGATTCTCGTCTTTAGTCACGTGAAGAGTCTGATCTGTTAGCACCAATTCGTGGCTCGAACCTTCGCACAGTACCTTTATTCCGTCGATGTTGCACTGCTCCGGTGATATGGTCGTCAGTTTCGTTACAAAAAATCTGCAAATAAGAGACAATGCTAAGTCAATTAACCAGTTATTACTACGGCTATTTTTATATTTTATATTAAAATGATTACTGATTTTAATTAATCATCTTACTGGTTCTTCAATTTAATTTTTTTTTTTTCAACGGGGTATTCTAGTCTAGAAGCAGGTAATTTTTTGAAGTGCAGTTAAAAAAAGGCAATCAATATTTTTACTATACATTTTTTTATAAGTTATTTATTAACATTACAAAAATACAGAAAAAAATTAAAAAAGATAAAAATTCAAAAAATGAGCAGCTGATGAAATGAGGAGGGTCTCAAAACTCTCATAGCAATATGCAATAAAAAAATAAAGAAGATTATTAATCTACAGTAATGTCACTATGGCATGAACTAGGGAAAAGTTGAAAAAAAATTTTTTCACAAAATAGCGACTGCCTGAAAATTGAAATTTGGAGATGACCGTAGTTCATGCCATAGCGACATTGCTCTAGATTAATAATCTTTTTTATGTTTTTATTTCAGATTGCTAGGAGGATTAGAATCATGAGCATGGTGCCAATTTTTTGAGACAATTTTTCATCACACTGATAGAAGGATTTGTTTATAGTTAAAATATTTGATAATATTCAAGAAATCATTTATTAGAGACCACTTTTTAGTCCTTAAAAATATTTCTTAGTATTTAATTTTAAATACTAAAAAATATTTGCTTAATACTAAAAAATGGTCTCTAATAAATGATTTGTTAACTATTAACAAATATTTTTTGGTACAAATAAATCCTTCTATCAGTGCAGCTGCTAATTTTTAGAATTTTTAACTTTTTTTTATTTTTTTTCTATATTCTTGTAATGTTAATGAATAACTTATAAAAAAATGTATAGTAAAAATATTGATTGCCTTTTTTTTATAAAACTTGAAAAAATTACCTGAAATTCATGCTTCTAAACTAGAATATCCCCTTAATTTTTTAAGTGCTAGATGTTCAAACCGTAGTTTTATTTATTTACAGAGTAATAAATTAATTCTAACGACGCAGTTGTTAATATTTTATTAAATTTTTTTTTTAATCAATTCAATTTACTGAATTAGAATCAGAAGAGTTCTAGCCTAGAAAAAAAAAATAAAAAATACACACGATACTATAATGACATAGATTATAGACAGATATGTAATAGTGTATCTAGGTAGTAGATTGATTGAGAGATAGATAGACAAACAGACAGACACATAGGTAATGTAAACCTTGCGTACATTTGTGATAATGATAACAAAGAAAAAATAAAAAGTCGTTGACCGTTTGGTTGTACATCTAAGTTGGTCATCCAGGTTGTACAAAGAGCCCGCGAAAATGTATTATCGATCATTCTTCTTCCGTCGGGTCTTTATTTAACGTATAATATGGACATAGACGCAGGCGCGTGGATAAACTTCCCAACGGGAACATCTGTCTGTTGTAGTTTACTCAATTGTAATCGATCTGGCAATTTAACAATTACAGGCCTTCTTTTTTTTTTTTTTTTTTTTTTAAATATATTTTTCAACAACTCTTCAACTGCTAACTGTTATTGTCATTTTATATAAATCTTTATTGCGTTTAACAGGATTCAATCCTCAATACAAATATGGTCATTTTATATTCCAGTCTCTTAGTGATTTCTGAAAACAAAATTATCCTACCAAGTATTTAATAAAGTTCTGTCGGCAAGGCTTTAGACAATGAACGCTGTTGGTGATCTAAATCTTACCTTGATCCACTGAAAAAAAAATTTTTTAATAAAAAAGAAACTTAAAAAATTATTTTTTTTTAATAATTGTAAGATTTTAGTTGATAAACATTTTGAATATTTGTTTATTTAATTGAGTACTGTTATATAGACGAAATTATAAGAAAAATAAAATTAATAAAACCGATAGATGTAGAGTATAAAGGCACGACTTGCCTCCAAGTATTACACAAAATAACATAGAATATATAAGTAGTATTAATGATCAATATGAAAGGTTTATACTACTATACGGACAATCGATTAGTCTAATATAATATCACTGTTTACAACTTATACTTGCCGACTAAACGCTTTTCCCGCAACTTGGCAACTTGATTATATTTTATTATACCTATATGATTTTATGTCATATCACGCAAAAGTTAGTTTTGTTAAAAAGTACGATTTATCAACTTGGCAATAACTGAAGAGTCCACTCAATGATTATACAAGCGACTCCTTAATATTCACTTATGTGTTATAATAATCAAGGCACTTTGAATTCTTTAGTTACTTTTGTTATAAGTTTTTACTTCTATCTTTAACCTTATTCTTATTTTTTATATTACTTATTTAATTATTATTAAACTATTCTTTTTTAAGTTTCGCGAGACTGCGGTGTTTTGAGTAATAACGTCAATTTTTAATCGACTTATCGCGTTACTAATGTTAAAAGGGCGTATAAAAAAAATTGTTTTGTTATTCTATCAACCAGGGAATGTATAAAAATAAAAATTCGATTGAAAAAGGCAAAAAAAAATTTTTTTTTGACTTTAAAAAATATTTTTAAAACTAAAAAAGCATACATGAAAAAATAGTCAAAGAACTTCTACAAAAAATCTAGTAAAAAAAATAATTTTTGGAAATTACTATTATAGTCCAGTTTTTTGAAAAAAAAAATTTTATTTCAATTTTTTTTAGTGAATTTTCACAAAATAAAAAAAAAATTGTAATGTTAGTTTTCACTTCCAAAAATTAATTTTTTATTAGATCTTGACGTTTTAAGATGCTTAGAAGCTACTTTGACTATTTTTTCACACACGTTTTTTCAACTTTAAAAATTTTTTTTTAAAACCAAAAAGTATGTTAAAAAACATTTCTTTTCGCGTTTTTCAACCAGATATTTACTTAAATACGTTTCTTAGTTAATGAAAAAAAAAAAAAGAATTTTTTTATATGTTCTTTTGACTTTAGTAACGTGATATCAAAGGCACATAGTAATATTGGCCGGCCGTTTAAAACACCAATTGGAGCAACTATTAAATTTGTAATCCAACTTGTTTCTATCGGCCCTATTATGTTATCCGCTAACTAGAATATTAATAACAATATGTATACATATATTTCCAATAATAATAGTAATAATAATAAACATAAGAAACAAGTATCACAGGAAAAACGTGAAAATAAAACATAAATTAATGTTTCTTCATGTGATTGAGCATAATAGTACGTGTGACAAAGCCCTTGCCACATAAAGTACACGTATAAGGCCGCTCGCCAGTGTGGTATCGGCGATGAACAGTAAGAGTAGAGGCCTGAGTGAAGGACTTGCCGCACATTGCGCACAAGTACGGCCTCTCGCCAGTGTGAATTCGCTGATGAACAACGTAGTACTTGCGATGGGTGAACCCTTTGCCGCAGACATCACAAACCAGAGGCCGGGACCTATGAACAGCCTTGTGGCTGGTCAGCGACTCAATAGTGTGAAACTGCTTGGTGCAGGAGTCGCAGGGATAAGACACCGGGGCATCGAAGGCCGGCTTGTCCATCACGCTGCTAGTAGAAGTCGGCACCGTCGGGACGTGGTTCATGTTTGTGGGCGACGGGTTGCTGACCAGGCCCGGAGTCGAGGTTTGGATGATCGACTTGTGGGTCTTTGCGTGGTGATTGTACAAAGTGCGAGTCTCGAACCTCATTGGGCAGCGCGGGCAGGTATAAGGTTTATCCTGGCCAGTTAAGTGGATTTTTTTGTGTCGCTCCAGAAGTGTCCTGTACCGAAAGCTCGCCTGGCAGCGGTCGCAATTGAAGGTCTGCTCATTTGTCTGGTCCGGTGGTGGAGACATCAATGTTGTATTGCTAACTATCACGTTATTTTGCTGATTTTGATTTTGATTTTGATTTTGATTTTGTTGATGTTGTTGTTGCTGCTGGTGCTGATTTTGCTGCTGGAGAATTTGCTGATGAGACGTCTCGTGCATCCTCAAGTGCCCCAGGTTCGGGAAAAGCCGCCCGCAAATCGAGCAAGAGTATTTAATCTGGCCGTTGTTGTCATTGGCGTCCAAGCGACGGCGCAGATCGTTACTGTTGATATTAACCTGGTGATTCATTCTGATGTGGTAATTTAACTTGAGCGCGCTGCGGAACTCCAGTCCGCAGCTCAAACACTGGTGGGACTCTGTGTGGACCTCCAGGTGCTCCAGCGGAGCCATCTGCTCCAGCGGGATCATTGAGGACGGGTGTGAGGGATGTAAGTAAGGCGAGGACATCGGAGCTATGTACTGTACTCCCGGTGACATCATGCTCGTGTAGTTGGTTAAGAACCCCGGCTGGAGGTTGCAGCAGTTCAGATAAGAGCCGTCGTTGATGTCCGGTGATGGTGACAAGATTTGACGGAGCATTCCTGACAACCCACCGAAGCTCTCTGTCTCCCTGTAATTGACACAAACACCCATCGACACAATCCTACGGAGAATGGTGCCGTTTACAAATGTGTAGATTTTTTTTTTGGTTTGTTTTTTTTGAAGCGAAACTTCTTTATCGACGTATGAGAGAAATTTTATAGCAATGTAAAAAAAAAAAATTGTCTGTACAGTGATGTAAAGAATAAATCTAGTAAATCAATTCTAAAAACAAATTAAATAGTAATTTAAAAATAAAGCAAAACACGGCCATATCCAAAATGGAAGGTAGATTTCATAGAATTAATTGTCATCTTGTCTCAATAACTTTCGTTTGACGTTGAATGAAATTTATTTTAACATACATTAGGTTGTATTACACATTGCCTGAAAATGGTTCAATTGAACTCTTAACTTCGATAATTTATCAAAAATCAGCTATCTTTTTGCTATTAAAAGTTATACATCAATAGTCACCGATCACGTGATTTTCACTATTTTGATAATTTTGAAGAGCTGCCATTTCTAAACTTATGGATGGACTTCGCTCATCTTCGAACTCATTCAAGGTTATTATTCAAAGAATATGTGTAATAAATTTCATCTACATCCGTCAAGAACTGTAGACACAATCGCGGCAACATCCCGTGTTATATTACATAAATTTTCTAACTAAAGTTATTTTTGATTGAGCTTTATTTGACTAGTTAAGTGATATTACGACAAAATTCTGATATGAGGACCAATGCAAAAAAATTGATTTCTATGAAATCTACCTAATATGTATACGTTCATCTTTTTTAATTATTCATTTATTAATTTTGAATTTTATAAAATCATTGCATATAATTGAATTACTTTGAATAGACAATTCCAATTATTTTATCATAACTTGTGTAATTGAGTAAATTATTAAATATCTGCTTTGAATTATTTTTACCAAGTTATGATATGAAATATGAATATTAAAGTTCGTTATATAATTTTTGTTAACTGATTAACTAATTTCTAGATTAAATAATGACAATCATAGTAATAATGATGCGATCATAATTGATGAAATACAATAATTATAATAAGAGCAATGATAAAATAAATTACTCATATTATTTGTATGCAATAATACTAAAATATCAATTTAATAGGGAAAAATTTTTTTTCTTAAGCCTTATCCACCCAATTTCTGTGAAGTTGTAAATAGTAGAAAAATGATACGTCATAAAGAAGTTTCACTTCTTACCTGTGTACTCTGGTACACACACATATTTTTTTTTTTAATTTTTGCATCCATTGCAGACTTTAACACGATTAGCAGGCGGTGATGACATATATTTTAAATAATAATAAATTATTTGATGTATTTTGCGAGTGATTCTGCCAAATGGCCGTGCAAGGTGCTGAGCATTGCTGAGACTGTCATTCGCGTTATTTATTTAATTATTGTCAATTTTTAAATATTAATTTTTGGATTATTGAAATTTATTTGTAAAAAAATAATACAAATGTATTTTTTTTATAATTATCAAGTCTTGTTACTGTTCTATAAAAAAAAATTATCGAAGCTTAATAATAATAAAATAATTTACCTCACCTTAAAACAGTAATCCAACTCCGATCCGGAAATAATAAATCTTCCGGACTTAACTGCTTGTGCAAGTGATTTCTTCAATATTATTTTATTACACTCGCACTCACATTGATCGGATGTTTAGTTATATTATGCTTTGTCGTAATCTGAGTAATAAAATTCAGTGGAACAAAAATAATAAATAAATAAACAGTCTTGTAGCTTGACACTGGCGCAAAATGCAGCCGAGTTATCAGCAGTTAAAATATTTATTGTAAAGTTGAATAAATTTTTAGTTAAAAGAAATAGCGGTAATAATATTTAAATAAAAAATCGGAAAAAAAGTGAGAGAGAAGCGCTGGAAAATGTGGCAGAACCGCGGATGCGACAGCAAACAGCTCAGCACGTGATTCGGAGACCGCCGCGGCCTTTGCGGTCATCCAACACACGGTTAGTCACGGCCAAAGGAGCCTCTAGCGATTCTTTCTTTGGACGCTAGTGCGCGCAGACAAACCGGTTCGCCAAAATAAAATACCAAGCACCCTCTCATCAACTTTACTTTATCCTTTCTTATTCTCAAGAAGGACTCGCGATAATGTCCTTCTTGGATGCAATAAAAATATTATTCCAAGAGCGTTAAAATGAGTAGAAAAAAATTATTTAGTTAAAAAAAAAAATCCTAGTGGAAAAAAATCAATACTCGCCTTTTAATAAATTTTTATCTGTCTCTCCTCTTGAATCCTCAGTAAATAATAGGACTCTTCTTTTTTCATTGATAATTCTTACGAGTCAGTCAAGCACTAGATCGATGGCTTAGCGACGTTTTTTACTCAATTAATTTTTTTTTTTCAAAAATTTCACTTTTCAAGTCTTATAAAACACGCGTATTTTTTTTTAATAAATATAAAATGCCTTGATCACATTGTGCTTGCCAGTTTAAATAAAAAATATTGACAATAATAAAATATAATAATAAATAGTATATCAATAGTGAAATATTATTAATTAATTATTAATATTTATAATAAATAGTAAATAATTAAATATGTAAATTGTTGCGTGGAATATTAGGTAAAATATATAATAAATTTGATAAGAGTACTTTTGAATTTGTCTGAGTGGATATGAAGGTCAGTGAATCCTTGGCCAGTCGAAGTAATAGGCAAGTTACGAAATTCACGACCTATCGATTGTCAGTGATTTGTTTCAGTCAGCTCTGACCGAGTGCGGCATAGTGCCATCACGTAAAGCGTGGTATACTTTATCGACACATCAACATAAACAAAATATTGTCCAATGAAACCAGATAAATTAAATAAACTATTAGATGATACTGAAGTTAGCCGACGTTTTTGATTTTTTTTTTAATAATTAAATAAGAACAAAAAAATATTTTTAAAAAATTGCACGTGTAGATTTTCAAATTTTTTACAGATGAAATTTTTTTCTTTTTTTGTAAAAAAAATTTATGATGTCGGTTAACTTAATTTTTATACTAGACACTCTTTAAATCATCGAATATTAATTAAATCGGTGAATTTCAATAAATTTATCTGTTTGCAGTGAACAAATAATTTTGACTGCGTTTACATCAAAATTTATCAATTTTTTTTAGTTAATAATTTACTCAATAAATATTTAATTTAATATCTTGTGATATAAACGCTGTCAGACACATGCTATCGATTCAAATACACATAAAATATTTATAGATGTCCAGCAATTTGCATATTTTATTCCATTATTGATTTAAGAAAAGTGCAGTATTTTAAATAATGATAATAAAATTGTCGGAACTATTTTTCAAGTACAATTGACCAGATTGCTGGACACCTGAGGGCCAAAGATGGTTGTGGGGTGTGTATGCACTTACCTCAATGACAAAAACGCTACATGTTTTATTACCCAGATTCAAGACTCAAGATTCTACTGTTAATTACCAATCAATCAAAGAAAAAAAATTTATAGTTTAAATTTTGAGTTTAAAAATAAATTCAATAGTAAGCTTTGAGATTTTAAATGAGATTGAATCGACTGATTTTAAGAAAAATTGTTTGTGTTAAAAAAAATTGTTTGTGATCACCACAACTTTTAATACATCTTTGGCCGTTCACACTTTTACAAACGGAAATAAAGAAACTTACCCAGTTTTGGTATTGTCTTCAGACTGCTGCATTCCCATCTCCATTATATCTGACAGTTTTTGCTTCTGAAGTCCTGAGGGTCCGGCTTCGTTGCACGGTAACACGTTCACGTAAGTAGTTGATTCCATCGACCTGCTACCACTTGTGTTTTCACTCTCCTCCTTCACCACTTGAAGACCTGATTTTAAAATTACAATTAGTAAACTCTCGTAAAATACTCTCATAAAAAATAAAAAATTTATTAGACTGTTAATTAATAAATAAAAATAAAAAAAAAAATTATACCATCGTCAGCATCACACTCGTCGTCAGAATTGTCATCTTCTTCGGTGTCAATCTCTTCTCCGTCTTTTCGCATGCGGTTACCAGTCGCCTGGACACTTGTTCCAGCAACCGACTGGATACTTTGTAAATTGTCCGTCGAGCTCATCGACACTGCGGGCATCTGTTGGTTCATGATGATTGGTAAACTTAGGCTCATACCATCGATCATGTTGATTTCCATGCTGTTGGATTGCTCCTCATTGGAGATTACTGTTACGTTTATTCTGTTGTCTGCCTGCTCCTGCTTCATTATATTCTGCAATGAATTATCGGACTAGTATCGGCATTTTATAATTTATATTATTAAGAGAATAAGAAAAATTTTGTCTCCAGGATAGTCAATTATAATAATTATTTAGTGCATTTGAAAATGCACTATCTCTAGATACATAATTGAGAAATGACTCTGTATCTTGTAAACGATTGAGATTTTTAAAGATATAAGCTCATCCTGATGTTACACTCATAAAGACCTTTCATTTGAGTACCCACATCAATTTTACATATATTTATATACACCATATATATATATATATATATATATATGTATATATCAAAAATATATGAAAAATGCATGTGGGTATTCGAATGAAAGCTCTTGATGAAAGTAACATCAGGATGAGCTTGTAACTTTAAAAATGTCACTAATTAAGAAATAACCTTGTATCTTGTCTCTTACTGACATTTTTAAAGAGATAAGCTCATCTCGATATTACATTCATCAAGACCTTTCATTTGAGTACCTACATCAATTTTTCATATATTTTATATATTTATATATATATATGTAGATATGAAAAATATATCAAAAATGCATGTGGGTACTCAAATGAAAGCACTTGATGAGTTTAACATCAGAATGAGCTTATATCTTTAAAACCGTCAATATTTAAGGAAGTATATTGAAATTTAACGAAATTCATTATTTAACAAAGCAAAATTTTACTTATTTATCGTTCACGTCTCAGCAGTCACACAGTGACTGCAAGGTTGCTACTATTTAGTTAATTAATCAACCGGTCAATGATATAACATTAAAAAAAAACAAAAATTACCGAAGTCATAACTTCTTGCTCGTAACCCTGCTTGTCCTCAAGTCCAACTTCCCCGAGCCATTGCATCAACTGTTTTTCAGCGTTGGCCGTGGTGTTGTAGAACTGATAACACAGCTCTACCTTGTAAGCACAGTCGTCGCATATTTTTTTTGGCAATTTGTCTTCTCTGTTCACCTGTAAAAACAATTATTAATTTATTAGCATCGTAACAATTTTTTATTATTACATTACAAGTTATTTATATCGTGTCTTTGAAAAGTATAGAGATAGCGTTTAGTTCTCGGAAGTTTACAGGCAATTGGAACGAACCGGATCGATCTCAAGACAAAGCCGTCATTAACCCGTACGGTTAAAAACTACTAATAATTTATTCATTGCCATCACGTGCTGGAGAATAAATATTTTAGTGAGCGACAATTTTTTTTTTCCTCTAAACAAAAGCAGTATTTTTTCTATTATTCAAAATCAACAGATCTAAAAAAAAAAATATTCCAAGCTACAGGTGACTCTCTAACTATGCTCATATTTAAAACAATTAAAAACATAAATAATTATCTAACAAAATAAATTAATTTTAATTAATAAGCAAAAGCGCGGCAATGCCAACGCGTCCCGTAAATAAAACAAAAATAATAATAAAAAAAACTTGAAGCTGTAAAATAAAATAATATAACATGTATTATTTATGTTTGAATATCCATATTTTGTAAATTACTCAAGATAAATGTAAATATAGAGAATAAATGTACAGTAAGTGATAGTTAAAATAAATAATTGAGTGAATACGCATGTAAAATATGATATATTCAGTGATTGAGAAGCATTTTAATAGATAATATATTGTTAAAAAAAAAAAAAAAAAAAAAAAAAAAAATATTTAGAGTCGTCAAGATGGCGACGAAGAAGTGCATGGCGTAGTTGGCTTACCTTGACCGGCAGACAGAAAGCTATCTTGTGGAATATTTGTCTGGCATCGCCGTCGCCCTCGAATATCGGGACGGACACTTGATCCTTGACAAGACACAGGCGGCACAAATCCATGTAATCAAAGGTGGACATGATTTTAATTTACGTGATATTAAAAACGCCAGTTCGCGACACCAAGCCGCGCCCGTTGGACGCGTAAGTATAATAAAGTTCGTTTATGGAGAGCGGCACTAACGAAACAGAGATTATACTGTTCTCTAATCTGATACTGCTTTGCTGTTATGTTTCGTCCGTCCTAGCACACCTTAGAGCGCACGATCACACCAACAACTAAAACTGAAGACCGTATTATAGCGTTTAATATTATACGCGATCAGTATAGAGTATTAGTATATGTTTTATATTATATATGTTATGTGTTATAATGTATGCTTTCCTTACCAGTATTTACCAGTCACCAGGTTGTTGCTCGCAAGCTGCGCGGTGAGTATATGTGGCCGAGAGTTGTCTTATTATCACCGAAAATGGACGACGTTCTTCCTCGCTGCTATAGCGTGTGCAAAAATGGCGTCGGGCGGCTCCGTGACGCTTCGGGAGGCTCCGGAGCGCTAGTATCGATCCAAGCGATGCAACGACCCCAGCCGACGCTTTAGTTTTAAGCGATCTCTCTCTCTCTCGCTCTCAGTTACTCTCACTACTCTCACAAGCTAAAATCGAACGCGGTCTCTTTGTTCTTGCTTGCTATATTCCGGCAGGCCGGCTTGCAGTAGCATGTAGCATGCAGGCAGACGCCAAGAGGACAAAGGTAAGACACTGGTGGGGGGACGCACTCCAACAGCCAATCAGATTCTCGGCCTATTTTCCTTGTAAATAATTTATTTTCTAAGCTAGGTGCCGCTTCGATCCGAATTTTTTTAAAAAGTTTTATTTTATGGACAATGCTATTAATATTCACACGCTGTTTTAAAGTTTGAAAATAAACTTTTTTATTATTTATAGTTTAGGAGCGAGTTTTTGGTTTCTTGGGAAGATTTAAGGGAAAAAGTGGGATTTTTTAGGTAATTAGTTATACTTTTTGAGCGAACTTACCGATGGGTTCGAGATTACAAATGATGAGGCTATTTTAAACACAGGTGGCGGCACAAGTCTTAAATTTCGGTTATAAGATTTTAATTTGGTACTTTTGGAGAGAAATTATTTTTGAAAAGAAAATTTTTAGCGACATTTTTGGTAAAAGTAAGAAATTAATTATTTTTGAATGACATTTTATGTTTAATTAATTGTTTTATGAATTCAGCTGTTAAACAGCTGATATTATTTATGATACTAAAGTTAGCCGACGTTTTTAATTTTTTTTTAATAATTAAATTACAACAAAAAAATATTTTTAAAAAATTGCACTTACAGTTTTTAAAGTTTTTTACAAATGAAAATTTTCTTTCTTTTTTTTTTGTAGTCATTTTTTCAATAAAAATAATTAAAAAGTTTTTAAATGTCGGCTAACTTAATTTTCATTTATTATTTTGGACAACTTTGTCATTATTTATAAAGCATTTAAAATTTTTGCAAGTAATTTTAGTAATTAAATAATTAAATTAACTAAAATTTGATCATTTTTTAATTTATTTTCAAAAATAAAATTAATATTCTTTAAAAATTAAGGAAATTTTTTTTAAATAATTTACTTGTTTAAAAAATTACCTAAATTTTTCAATTTCAGTTTCATATTTTAATATTTGTCTTTTAAAATAAATGATTTAGCATAAAAATTTCATAATAAAATGAAAAAAATAAAAAAAAATTATTAAATTATCAAAAACAAAACATTTTATTCTTAATATCTAGATATATCTCCCCTCTAACACTAAAATCGACATGAAATCGATTGAATGTGGATTTGAAAGGGAAATGTAACGCATGTCAGAGATGACAATAATAATAATTCAAGTGGATTAATTTACAAAACTGCTTTATTGTGGCAGAACACATGTATTATCATATATCAGCATATAATTGATAGTCCATTTGTAATTTACAAATTACTATGCGATCTGAAATTGGTACATGTACATGTTGGTATTTGTTTTTTCAATAAATACACGTCGACGTGTGTCTTGATTTTATTTTCAGTATTTATCATTGGAATTACTATTAATTCACGAGCGAGAAGAGTTCAGATTGATAATAACCAAAATGAATCACGGATTCTCGAAAAAATTGGTACAGCTCGACTTGAGTCGGCGTTTTATTTATTTTTTATTACTGAAAAAAAAAAGAGATATGTGGAACATTATTTCTTAAAACATTATTTTCCACTCGAATCGTTCCAAATCCATTAACAATCTTATATTTCCTCAATAGGCACTCTCGTCAACGCAGATCTTTGTTTAACTCTTTTAATTGCTATCTTCAATGTTTTTTTCCTCGATTAAATTGCAATTAAACTTCTCTTAACGCTAGAGGAATTGAAAATGATTGCAACTCACTATTATTAATAAAAAGCCAAATCTTTTATTTTTAAACTTCGCGAATCTCTTTCATTTTTTAATTGCTCTCGTTGACATTGCCCAGGTTTATTTAAATCGTTTAAATGTTTCTAAATTTCTACAATCCGTAAAACATTCTATCAATATACGTTTCAGTTTTATTTTCGACTCCTTCTATTCATTTCTATCTATCTTTTTTTTGTTCTTTTTTTTTTTTTTTATTTCTTCTCAATACACCCCAGCACTAACGTTCAATCAATTGTATCTCTTCAATTACTATTATTATTATTATTATTATTATTCTTATTATTATTACTATGATTAATATTATCATCTTAATTAATGTTAATCAATCACTTGCGTTCTTTCGATGCACAAATAGTTGTTTTTTATCCATTAGATTGAACTTTATCAATTAACTATACACTTAATGTTATAACAATAGCAAAAATTTATTTATCGTATTTTTGCTCTGACTCTCATTGTTTGTTTGTTTTTAAAACTATTACAAATATATATTATATCGTTTATTTCTATTATAGAGTAAAATCGTGCACTGATAGAAGGATTTGTTTTTATTTAATAAGCATTATTAATTGTTAATAAATGATTTTTTAACATAGGATTTGATAAATATTTATTAACAGTTAATAAATTATTTTATTACGATTTATTAAATGTTAATAAGTAATTTATTAAGTACAGTTTATTAACTGTTAATAAATATTTATTTAAAATCAAAAGCAAAAATAGCAATTTTCTTTTGGCACTTTTTATAACCCGATAGCTGGAATGCATGATAATAATTAAATTCAGTAATTTATTAAGTACAGTTTATTAACTGTTAATAAATATTTATTTAAAATCAAAAGCAAAAATAGCAATTTTCTTTTGGCACTTTTTATAACCCGATAGCTGGAATGCATGATAATAATTAAATTCACTAAATAAATTAACCTTTTTAATATTTAAAAATATAATAGATAATTATGAGCTGTGATAAAATTTGGTATTTTACAATAAACGTTATTATAATGTAATATAATTAATGCAAATAATTTATAAAGATGATTTTTATTTACAAGCAATCTTCATATCATGAAATTGCAAGCGAAACAAATTCACTCAACAAAATATTTATTAATTGTTAATAAATATTTATTAAATGTTAAAAAATATTTATTAAAATTAAATAAATTAAATAATTGTCTTCAAATAAATTAAATTATTAATATTTAATAAATCCTTCTATCAGTGTGTCTTTAATGAAAGATTATTAAAAAATAACTTAAAAATTAACCGGGAAGATTTAGTAAATAAAAATACATATATTTAGCCATGATATATATCCTTTGAGACAGTTTCAAAATGAATATTAACCACACGCAGTTGGAGGTATGCCACAACACACCACGTTCTGACAATTTAATCAGCCTTCAAATTAAGCTAATGGAAAATATTTAAATTAGCAATCGTAATCATAAACCTCTTTATAATATCGGGTCAAATTAAATGCGTCGGTACTTAAATTAACAATACTGCCAGTATCAGGGTAAATCCTTCAATCGCTTTTTACAAATTAAATAATAATAATAATAACAATAATAATAATAATAATAATAAAAGCAACGTGTTTATTTTTATACTTAAAATCTTAAACTCTCACTAATCGTCGACGCTGGGAAAGTTTGGTCTAAAATTCGTTGGCAACTTACATATTTTATTTTAATAATATTTATAATTTATCTTCATTAATATTTATATTTTTAATTTTTTACTCTTCTTCGATACGTGAGATAGATACGTGATATATTTGAATAATTATTTATAAATTTATCGTTTCAGCTAAAATTATAAAATATTTATCGACGATGGAATAAAATTGTTGAGGAGAACAAAGCTAAATATTTAATAACATTTTTGAGTTAAATATCCAATTTTAAATCTGCAAAAATTGTTAACGAGAGCCAGATAATAAATGGAAGAATAATTCAATTATTTTATAAGTTAAAGATTGAGAAGAATAAGAAGAAGAGGTAAAATTTATTTTTATATACCATTTACGATATACATTATCATTAATTAATTGTTTATTATTATTATTATTATTATTATTATTATCATTATCATTATTATTATATTCAGCTGATTTTCAGCGACATGACATATTACGAAGGCCATATCTTTTAATTCGTAAGTCGCAAAGGAGCCATTAGACTCTTCTTTTGCCTTATTTTTAATTAATTTATTCAATGAATTAATATTACTATATTACAGTTTTTTTTTAATTTAATTTACTTTACAATTTTATTAACAATCATACTCTAAGTAGTGTGAGCGCTCCGCCTCAGACTCACGTTGTATTGTGAGAAATTCTCGCTCACATGTCGTATTAATCATATTTCTATATAATAGTAGATTAATAATCCGGTCATGTATCTTTACTCTCATTCATTATTATAGCCATTTGTACTCGTGAAACCAGCAAAGCACATTATCCTCATATCTCTAATTGTGTCCCATTTCTAACTAAGCTCCGTCGTCTTAATTTGACGGTTTTACATGTAATGTTCCAATAATAACTATCATACTTAATAATAATAATAATAATAATAATAATAATAATAATAATAACCATAACGATAATAATAATTTTATAGCATACAATTATAAACATAAGGCTTAATTTAATATTTCTAAGGAAATTAAGTTAAAATGAATCTTAAGAGCTGGAAATTCTACCATCACTCAAAAATACGTAATACAACCCTACACAGAAAAAAAGGTTCAAAATATTTTTTTTCTAAGTATTTTCTTGAGCAAAAAAAATTTTTTTTGACAAGAAATTTCACTTATTCCAACAAAATTCTCTTGTTTTACGAAATCCGGTTCTTGATCCAAGAAAATTTATTTAAGTCAAGAAAATCTTGTTTTGAGAAAATTAAGCCTCGAGCTCCAAAAAATTAAGTATAAAGATAGAAGTAAATTTTCATTAATATTTTTATTGATTAACATGTCAAATGGCAAGATCAAATAATATTTCATCATTTTTTTTCATTAAATATGTATAATTGCACGGTAAAATAATATAAAATGGGTATCAAATATTCAAGAGAAAAATTTTCTTAAGTTAAGAAAATTTTTTTCTCAGCTGAATTAAGTAGCGCTGCTTCCCTAAAGTATCTAAAAATCTTGATCAAATATAAAAATTTATTTAATCAAGTATTTATAATAATTAGAATTAAGAAAAAATTACTTCCACCAAGAATAGAATTTCAAGAAAATTTTCTTTCTGTGTAGTTTCAAATCCCCTCATAGATAAATTTTTTTTTCTCTGATAAATACAAGCGATAATTAAACAATGAAGTATCATAAAAATTCTTTATCGATTTAAATTTAATTGTGATTGAATTATCTGAAAGATTTAAAATAAGCTGCTAACTTTACGGATTTTTACAAGGCATAAAATCATAAAGATTAAATCTATAATATAATATATTATTTATCAATAAGTATTATTATTATTATATTTAATATTAATTAATAATTCCTTATATTTATATATATATTTGTACATGTAGATCTTGGAATATTTCAAATACTTGATTGACCCGTTTCGAAAAATTTATTTGTTACAATCTCAAGCGGTTAGCAAAGGATCATTGTCGCGTGATTTAAATATTTAAACCATCTGATTTAATGAGATACACTTTGGCTAACGAGACACACCAACAAGTCTATGGATTAGACCTTAAAGTTAAGAAGTGTAAAATTCGGAATTTATTCGTCACCGCTTCTGCGTTGTGTATTTATTTTTTTTTTTACTTTGTATTTTTTTTCATCATCCATTATCATTATTAATAATATTTACATCGAGGCACAAAGTCACCTCAACTCGTAGCACCTAAAACTATTTTGTATTCATTATTATTATTATTATTATTATTATGATTATTATTATTATTACTAATTTATATTTAATATATATACATATAAATTGCAAAATTGTTAATGAAAAATTTTACTTCTCTTAAAGTTTGAACGTAGATATATATAATATATTTTATTTATTTATATTTACTCATTTGTATTTATATATAAATAATCTGTTATGGATTTTTATTCTCGCACTACGGAACACATGGTCACTTGCCTGCTATTAATAATAATTATAATTAAATTAGTAAATTAAATCAAATTTAATATTATTATTTTTTTTTTCGTTTTTCTTTGTACAAGATTATCGAGATTGCGCCCAGTACCCTCGACATTAATTTTTGTCTCGTATTTTTTTTTTTTTTTCTAAGGTCACACTGAATTACGAGAGTACACGGACTCGGCAATCTCTGGTGATTTAGGAGAGGGCAACTGAGACGACTACGGTACAGTCTGAGTCTGAGTGTGAGACTACCAGGAAGTACATGGATCGGATTAACGCATTAACGTTTGTCTAGTCGAGCTTTTTTGAGCGAGGGGATAGTAAGATTTAACAAGATTTATTCTTTTGATAATAAGAAAATTTATCTGATTAATTTTACTTTGGCTCCATGTCTAAGTATCATTTTTTATTTTAAATATCTAACTACTCACTTAAAATATTATCCTTTTAGTTTTCTTCAATTTTTTAAATTAAAATATAATCATATTAATAATTTTTTAATAAAATAAAATTATTAAAAATTAGTAGCTAAGTAAATTACAATTATAATTTTTAATTATTATTAAGATTATAATTAAGAATTTAAAAATAGAAGATACTGTCAAGAAATACTTTCAATAACAAAATGATTATCATTTTTTGTACACAGAAAAAAAAGTTCACTTCATGGAAAGAACAAGATGACACTGGATATTATCCTAAATTATACTCAGTGATATCTGTGGTGGCAAAAAATTTCAGATAGTAGCTAAAAAAATCCAGATTAAAGTGCTAATCTAACTAAAAATCCAAATTAATCATTGTAATCGGGATTATACTCATTATTGTCTAGATTATACTAGCTATTATCTGAAATTTTTTTCACTCAATTGAGCCAATTGGCTCAATTTTCTTAAAGAAATATCTTTCTTCCTAATTATTTTCTTGGGCGAAAAAAAAATTTCATTTCAACTGAATGAATTTTCTTGCTTTAAGAAATACATATTTTGATTCAAGAAAATTTATTTAAGTTAAGAAAATCTTGTTTCGAGAAAATTTAGCCTCTTGCTCCAAAAAATTTAGTTCTTGATAGAAGTAAATTTTCTTGTCTTGAGAAAATTTCTCTCTTGTTCCAAAAAATTACATATAAAGATAGAAGTAAATTTTTATTGATTAAAATATCAAATGAGAAGATCAAATAATATTGAATCATTTTTTTTTATTCAATATGTATAATTGCACGGTAAAATAATATAATATGGGTATCAAATATTCAAGAGAAAAATATTCTCAAGGTGAGCTGCTTCCATAAAGTATCTAAAAATCTTGATCAAATATAAAAAATTATTGTATCAAGTTTTAATGATAATTTGAATTAAGAAAAAATTACTTCCACCAAGAATAGAATTTCAAAAATAATTTTACCTTCGTTCTTCCTTCACCCGAAAATTTTCTTGAACCAAGAGTTTTGTTCTCCAGTCAAGAAATTTTTTTTCTGTGTAATAATCATTTTTAACTTAAATTAATTAATTAATTACAAATTCATTATTTTAAAATAATAATGATATCACATAATATTTAGACATGACTCCATTTGTTTCAGAAAAACCTAACTTGGATTGCAACTACACAGTCACCATAGTAATTAAATTACAATAATAATTATCGGAATAATGAATTTGGCTAGAGTTTTATGGCACGATTGAGATTGAGAAATAAATCTCTGATACGACGAGTCGTATTTATCCTCACAATACTTAATTTTCGTATCACATTTGAATTACATATTTATAATAATAATTGTAATTGTTAATTTTTAAAGGTAATTTTTTTACTAATAAATATATTAATAAATATGATTAATATTAAATATATATTTATATATATATATATATATAATACGAATAGAATAATGGTTTACAGGAATGGAAGTGTTATATTCAAAAAGACGCACGTCGCGTCATTTGGTACTGCAGTATTACGTGAGCGGGTGTGGGCATTGTTTTAACTGATGGAGGTCGTCAGATGCTCGCTCGGTGCTGGTAAATTGGCGGTACGTGAAGAAGCGGCGTGAGAGGCGGCGGACGAATGTCATCCCTAAAATTCGAGGCCGGAAACTGCTGCATAGGCAGCAGATGTGAGATCTTTCCAGGCGAACGCCGGACTGTGAACCGCGGTCGCCGTTGCTTCCTGTAAAACCCAGTACACCTGCAACTGCAGACCGACGCGTCGTCTACCAGGGATATCGTGTCGCCCTGGTTCCCCATTTGCCCCGAGAGTATCGAGCCGTTGGCAGTTATCACGTCGCCCTCCAGTCTGACAGCTCCTTGCGCAGCCTTTAATTATTAAAGTTAGTTTTTTTTTTTTTTTAATTGTTATTACACTCTACAAAGTAACATTACTTTTAATGTTTATGTAAGTATGTACCTGGAGCGCTTCTGCTTCATCTCGCCTCTCGTCCTCCGTGTTCATCGTGACAAATCTGAGGACGAGCAAGTTAAGCGAAGCGGCAACTATCGCCAGTCCAAACAGGATAAATATTAGCGCAAATATTACATACTCGGGTTTATTATCGAGCGCATTGTCCTTCTGCAGCGCTACCATGTCGCCAAACCCGATCGTTGTCAGTGTTATGAAGCAGTAGTATAGAGAATCGAAGTAAGTCCAGCCTTCGTATTGTGAGAATGCAGCTGCGCCACACGTTATCGTCAGACTTGAGAGAAACGTCACCACGAAAATTAAATTTATTTCCGATGCCTTTTAACAGAAAAATTATTTGTCAATTTTTTTTTTTTTTTTTTTTATATAAAATTGTCAATTTTTATTTTTTATTTTTATGGGAAAAATTTATGAGAAGTATTTGATATCATTACAGGGTTGCGGATAATGGTAATAATTTTTTACTGAGATTAAAAATAATTTTTTTTCATTTTTTAACTCTAAAAAATTGAATAAAAAAATTGAATATTCTATTTCTAGATACATAGTTAAGAAATCATCTGATATCTTAAGAACTATTGGCATTTTCAAAGATATAAGCTCACCCCGACATTACACTCATCGAGACCTTTCATTTGAGTACCCACATCAATTTTTCATATATTTTATATATTTATATATATTTTACAAATACCATATATGTTAAATATATAAAAAATGACATGTGAGTACTTAAATGAAAGGTCTCGATGAGTGTATCATCAAAATGAGTTTATATTTTAAAAACTTTCAATAATTAAGAAATCACCTTTTATCTTGTGAAATATTGACATTTTTAAAGATGTAAGCTCATTTTGATATTATACTCATCGAGACCTTTCATTTGAGTATCCACATCAATTTTTCATATATTTTATATATTTATATATAGTATAAATATATATATATATGAAAAATATATGAAAATGCATGTGGGTACTCAAATGAAAGCTCTTGATGAGTGTAACATCGGGATGAGCTTACATCTTTAAAAATGTCAATATTTAAGAAAATACAGTGCAATTTAATAAAATTCATTATTTAATAAAGCAAAATTTGATTTATCTATTTACTAGTTAGTTTTTAAATTTTTAATCTCAACACTTGAATTAAAAATTTAATTTCAAATTTTTAATTCAAAAATCTCAACCTTGATTTATTATTTTTGATTGAAAAAATTTTCCGAAAATTAATATTGTTAATAAAGTCAATATAGCGATAAATTGGGCCAAAAGCGTGTGTAGCAAATTTGAGGAGAATTAATATAGATCTGTATAATAATAGCTTTTGTGTGATTATTCCTTTTGTCTGGACGAGTAGTATTAGCAATAATGAGGATTATTAAATGCGGGAACGAGTGGGTAGGCTACCTGAACGTCCTTGCAGTTGAGTAGTTGTTTAACTCTGCGTATGACGACGGATGAAAATTTATTTAAACGCTCTCCGATGCTTTGAAACATGACGAGGCCCAAGGGTATGCCGATCATCGCGTAGCACATCGTGAACAGCTTACCGCTTATCGTATTTGGAGTCGAGTGCCCGTAACCTGATAATGAAAGTTTACTTGAGTGAGGAGCAGTCCAAAAAGTCAGAAAATAGATAAAATACAGAGTACAGGGACAAAGTTTATGGCCAGGATAGGTATCAAGCTATATACGGGTGAAAAATAATCGACTGAAACACGTAAATTCGCTTAAGCGCTATGAAATTACGCGATAGAACGGCGTGTGATTTTGTGAGATTGAATTCGTGAGGGTCGAGGGTGAGGATGATGGAAATAGTCAGAGCTGCGTGTGTACCGACCGATAGTAGTGAGGACCGTGATGGCATAATAGAATGCCCCGGCAAATTTCCACTGCTGGCCAGCCTTGTGTGGTTCCGTCTTCAGCACCACAGTTTCCATTATTTTGAAGTCGTCTTCGCTTATGTTGTATTTGCGTTTTACCATTCTCTCGATGGCTGAAATTTTTTTTTTTATTTAAATTAATTAAATACTACACGTTATTACATTCTTAAAGTAAAAAAGCGTAAAAAAACTAACAGATTGATTTAAAAATAAAAATTAATTTTAATTTTTTAATTTTCACTTAAGAAATTCGAAATTTTTATTATACGTCTTAATAAATTCAAAAATTTATTTTTCATTATCTATATTATTCAGAGAATATGAAAAATTTTGTCTCCGTTATTTCTAGATATATGATTAAAAAATGACTTTGTATCTTGTAAACTATTGACATTTTTAAAGATATAAGCTCATCCCGATGTTATTCTCATCAAGACCTTTCATTTGAGTATCCACATCAATTTTTCATATATTTCACATATTTATGTATATTATATATATAAATATATGAAAAATATATCAAAATGCATGTGGGTACTCAAATGAAAGCTCTTGATGAGTGTAACATCAGGATGAGCTTATATCTTAAAAAATGTCAATAATTAAGATCTGACTTTGCTATCTTGTCAACTAATGATATTTTTTAAGATATAAACTCACCCCGATGTTACACTCATCGAGACCTTTTATTTGAGTACCCACATCAATTTTTCATATAATTTATATATTTATACATATATTATATATATATAAATATATATGGGTGATTCTCTGTAAGGATGTTTTTTGCTGTTCCGGGCATTTTTTTATTAGAAAAATTGTTATTTTTTAACTAAAAAAAATTTATTACGAAAGTAAAAAAACATTTCTATTTGGAGCGTTAAAAATTAAAATGAAATAAATTTTGGTTTTTTTGCTATAAATTCGTAAACCACCGAAATGTCAGTCCCCTAGACTGTCCCAGTCCCAAAATTAAAACTTTAAGATTAAATTTTAAGTTATTCGTAAATAATATATAATTTGGTCCATAATGTTTATAAACTTAATTAGTTAACTAACAATCTTCTTCAATAAAAAGTACCGAAAGTTAATTTGTTTAATTAAATTCATTAAATCAAAGTTTGTCCCAGGCATTTGAGATCAGTCCCCTGCCAGAAGTTCAAAGCCAAAAAAAAAAAAGTCTAGCTTGTTATTTTACCTTTTGTAAGGTTTAAAAGGATCTAACTAGCCTTAAGTTAATAACCATAGGGCTGTTAGCGCTTTATCGGCATTTTATTTAGTGTTGAAGCACCGTTTGTGCTGGAAATATGTGTCTGGGCCACTTCAAAACTCAGTCCCCTGGCAGCTATTTTTGTTTATAATTTATTTATAAAATTGGATCCATAAGTCTTAATATTATTCTAATTAATGTAAACATTCATTGAGAACTTAAAAAGTTAAATGCATTGAAATAGTTTGCTTGATTTTTCTCAATTTGATAAAAAAAAATCAGTCCCCTGTCATGTTACGCATGCAAAAGATACACAAATATCGAAAAATCAAAAATTAATTCGGCTGTTTATTTATTATAATTAAGCTGACAGTTTTGTAGCTCTTGTTAATTTTTTTTCTAATAAAATCAAAAATAATTTTGCCGGACAATTTTGTACAGATTTAAGACGTCCTTACAGAGAATCACCCATATATAATATATGAAAATGCATGTGGGTACTCAAATGAAAGCTCTTGATGAGTGAAACATCGGGATGAGCTTATATTTTTAAAAATGTCAATAGTTAAGAAAGTACAGGGCAATTTAACAAAATTCATCATTTAATAAAGCAAAATTTTATTTAGTTTTAATAAATTAAAAAATTTTTAACATTTTTTAAATAATTAATGGAAAAAAAAAATTTTATTAAAAACGCGACATAATAATAATTATTTATGATAATGAATATAAAACGCTAATTACCGTCTAACGCTTCTTTGCGCAGTTTTTCCGTCTCGGACTCGAGGGAGTCAAACACTGCAGCGCCGATAAGGAGGTAGGTGAACGTGCAGACGATCAACGATAGGGTCCGGACGTTTTGCTTCTTCATTCTCTAGTGAGCCACATGCTCACTAGCAGGGCCTCGGCCCTAACTACTTGCATTGCTCAGTGGAATACACCGTGAGGTACCGGGCTCATTTTGAGCCCTTCTGTGTCTGTCTGTCTGCCGTTCCTGTTTATCTACTGCAATCACAGGTAAATAACAACCCTTTTTAAATAAAAACACAGAACAATGTTGTACGCAGAACTTTCAGACATATAAATTCACCATTCGTTAAAATTTAAAAGCTTATCTGCAATTATAACTTTCCACCGCGGAAAAGTTTATATGCTAAATAAATTTTAAATATTTATGGCGGATAAAAAGCTGCGTTTGCATTTGTACGTCTGAATTTACATAATATATTCATTCATTTTTGAGCTGTCGGTGATTTCAAAAAATAATTTCACTCTTTACTACTTTTAATCATGACTTTTGTTCTTGAATCATGGCCTGGAGCTCGGGGATAATTACTGGAAATATTTTCCCGACTTTTACAATAAGCGCCTTTGACTTTAGTAATCTTGTCATTAATAATAAGAAAGTAAGACAGTGAAGTAATATAAGGGTTAATATTATTCGGAGATTCTTCTCGAGAGCAAGAGATCCGAATTTTGTTACATAATTGATCTATATTTATAAGTGTCTTATAATTGGTTAATTATACTAGAGGGATAACTTTAGCAAAGGGTATATATAAGAGTAAGAAAGGGTCTCTGAGTAATTATTTCTCTTGCACAAGGGGCTCAGTCAGCCGTGAGATAGTTTTCCAAAGTTCCAAACTGTCCTGATTTTTTGACAGACTTTATCCACTCTTCATTTACTCTCTTCTGCTTTTATTATATCCTTTTTTTTTTTTAAACTTTGCGATATCAAAAGAAAGACATGCAATTGACTTATTTTTTTTATACTTCAATTTGATTTTCAATTTAAAATAATTTTTGGTCATTTCAACTAGTTTGAAATTTATTATTGGGCAAATAAATTTTTTATTAAATTTTCTAAAAAAAAAACTATATTATTAAGAAAATAAGCAAAATTTTGTGGCCAGTGTATTTATATGTTAAAATGGGTTTTTATGAAATGACCTTGTATCTCGTGAACTATTGACATTGTTAAAGATATAAGCTCATCCCGATGTTAGATTTATCAAGACCTTTCATTTGAGTACCCACATCAATTTTTCATATATTTATATATATATAATATATCAAAAATGCATGTGGGTATTCAAATGAAAGCTCTTGATGAGTGTAACATCGGGATGAGCTTATATCTTAAAAAATATCAATAATTAAGAATTGACTTTGCTATCTTGTCAACTAATGATATTTTTTAAAATATAAGCTCATCTCGATTTTACACTCATCAAGACCTTTCATTTGAGTACCCACATCAATTTTTCATATATTTATATATATTATATATATATATATAT